ATTCCGCAGCCCTCATGGCTGGTTGAGGAATTCCACAGGTCTTCAAGTTGCTAAGTTTGTAGGCGCCTGAGCTAGCTGGTTGGCCTTTCTGAGATCTTCCACAGTGTAGTAAGAATGCACCCCCCCTACCAATCCTTTCCCTGTACCCTTAAATACACAGGAATCAAGTGCAAAGCAAGAAAATAAAGAAACATAAACTCCGTTTTTTTCTCTCTTTAAGCTGCCCCAAGCGTGTCACATGTCACAATGTTGCAATTCTAGACTGAAAGGCTCTGTCAATTGCGAAAACCTTTAGCTTTAAATTTAGCCTGTTTACCTTCAAAGAAATCTTTCTAAAAGCCACAGACAGACTCAGTTAAAGGGGGTAAAACTAATTACATTTGTTTAAAGGGATTAAACCTTTCCTGTTGTCTTTTTTCCCCCTCCCCCACCCAAACCACATTCTTTTATAGCCTCTCCTTTCTCCCCCCCCTTTTCTTCAGTTCACCTCCAGCTCCGAGCTGCTTCTGGAAGCGCCAATCAGCTGGAGACAATCAGCTGGAGTCCTGCAGCTGCCTCTCCCTCAGGCTTGGCTCGCTTCGGCTCATTCCCCTCCCCTGCTACACTTGGCTAGCAATTGCGTACCACCTGCCATGTGATAAAGTACCACAAGTGTACCACCAGTTGAAACGCCCTGCCTTAGGTGATGGGAAGGATCAGAAAAGCAAATGGGAAGTTTTGCCAGTTCTCTGAGATTTAGGGTCCTAGCTCCCAGGACTCAATAATGCAGCTTGTTGAAAACAAGCAAAATGGGGGCGACAAGGATTCTGTTACGCAGAGCAATAAGTCTTTAAAAGCCTTTATACTTAGGGAAGGGAATGGCAGAGAAATTGCTTTGGTCCTAATTTAGAGCCCTCCTGTGTTCCCTTTCTTTATGCTCTGTTTCCACTTAAGGCAGGGGTTCCTCACCTCGCATCCTTCCCAGTCTCCTTTCTGGTGGTTCAAGCATTTCTGTATTGATCTCAATCTGCTGAAAACTGTTTCTGCTGGCCAATAATGCCATTCCTTTTAGATAAAGGAGTTGTGAAATGGGAGGAATTGAGGACAGGGTAGTTAAACATGGAGCTGAGCTTAGCTCAACTTGTTTTTTTCAGGGCATCATCTAAAATGGAATAGTTTATTGTAGAAAGGAGAACTTTCTTATCCACTATACCCATTACTGCAGATAGTAAAATGCTTGAGGCCAGTCCAAGCCTAGGTGGAAGGATTTCATTCTGAAGCCTTGGATGGTCCCACAGCATAGAATAAAGTTTCCAGGAATAGCAACAGAAGTTCCAGAACTCTGATCTCATTGTAAGAACTGCAGCTCTGACCTTCTTGCATTTTGCCTGTAGGAAGAGAGATATCTCTCTCAGTGTTGTCCAGCAAATGTACCCTAAACTCCATTTGTACATTGTGACAGAAGTTTTGGAGATAACGGAGCCCTTTCTCATTGACGAGATTGTCCAGACAGGTGGCAAGGGGGAAGTTTCTGCAATGGACATACTTAAGATCCAGGTGTGGTTATCATTTTTGGCTTCATCTTTTTGCTGTTTCTTGTTTTTTAAATGAACAGGTTAATGGCTAAAAGCACTGCAGAGTCATTCCTTAAAGAGGAGTTGACTGCTTACCAACAGTGGTGGGTTTGCTGATGAAGTATTTTATCTTTTTCATAGGAATAAGATGCACAAACTCTCTGACCAAAACATGAGCTCAGCCCCTAGAGACTTTATAACTGCCATCAAACTTAATTTAAAATGTGAGGTTAGGAAGAAAATGGTTTATTTAAGTAGTCACAGTTTAACTTGGCTGACCTTGAAAAGCTAAAGAAGGCTAGGCCTAGATTAGTAGGCCTAGCCAACAGGACAGGAGATCAGCAAGAATTTCCAAGACCGTGAAAAAAGTAAAAAAAAAAAAAAATCCAGTGAAAGGCTATAGCAAACACAGTGGCCAAAGCAAAACAAAATAAAACCCAATCCTATATAGATGAATATTAAGCTTCACTTGAACAAAACATTTCTAGGAAACATGTTTAATGCATGGAGAATAGCATATGACCTGGGGTTTTTTTTTTTTTTTTTTGATGTTGGGTCTTCTGCTTTTAGGAGCATGGTATGACATGAAAGACCAAAAATGGCTCCTGGTATTACATATGTATATATGCCCTTGCCTTATAGCACACAGGGAAGCCCTTGACTAACAGCTTTTGGGAGCACAATCAATAATGTGGAAGACTGAAATGTAAGGAATAGGCAAACTGGAAGCATAAAAATTCACTGCAGAAGGATTAGTACACTTGTGCAACATTATATTGTAGCTTTATTTTTCATGCGTGTTCGTGTATGTGTATAGAATGGACTTGTAGGAAAAAGAGATTTTGGAAAGTACATGTCATCATAAGCAGATGCACTGAATAAAGAAAATGGAATGAACATTTATTTCATTTACTGTATTCCAAAGTGAATGTAATGAGATCTGCTGGAATAGTGCTCACTACTTACATTTAGATAAAAGGGGTTCCTGGCTGGCCATAGCTGAAAAGTAGATGGGTGTGGAATGCATTCTCATGATCTTTGGCAGAACTCTTTTTTCTCCATTTGGTAACCTTAGGGCTATGAGTTTCCAGTTAGACAACTTATAATTGATCATAATGTGGAATCATCATTGCCTGTTTTCTATAAGATGATGAGAATGCCTATGGATTGCTAGCTTGCTTCCTTCACAATTTGTGATTTGGTTTAGGATAAGACATTCTTAACATCCTGTGCTCAAATCTCCAGGGTCAACACACGACAATGAAAAATAAATCCATGCTAATTCCTTTTGGTACAGTGATGGCATATGGAGTTGAGAAATTCCAAATCTGTGAAGAAGATCCTGGTGAGTGAAAAATGTTGGGCATCTTTCTGTTCGTTCTAATTTCTTTGCATTTTTGTTTTCCTGTAGTTTATCTCAACCAGAGGTTTCAGACAATGTTGGTTCTCTCATCCACTTATGATGGTATGTTTATTATCTAGGCTTACAAAAATATGTGTATGAAAATTAGAAAAAGCATGATTGTTTGTAGAGCTATCTAAGCAAATAAATAAATAAACAAGATAGATTTGTGAACCAAAGATCACACAAGATGAGTTTTAACTGTGAGTAAAACGTTAATTTTGCAAAATAAAATTCTAGACTATAATGTGGTTGATTAGTTTATAGCTCAATATATGATGTGAAGTCACCAAACACCATTAAGTGATTAGAAAACTGGGTTAATTCTATAAACCATAGCTAAATTAAGTGGATTTGCATGATGTATGAAGTCTGGCTAAGGAGGAAAGAGACAGAAAGATGTCTGGGTTTTCATGTTAACAAAATGCTCCCGTTAGTTTAGTCATCCAAATGTAGCATGGAACCACACCTTTGTAGTTGCCCTGCAGTCCCCAATTAAAGGGGGACAATGTGCAAGAGTATTTAAGAATAATAAAACTACGGCCTTCCACATAGCTAGCTTAATCAATGACACTATGATGTAATGTCACAAGGCTTGTACTTGGGTTATCACAAATATGTAAGAGGTGGACTTTATATTGAATATTATATTTTATTTTTATCTCTTTCCTCTTGAGGCATTAATGGCCCTCCAAATGTTGCTGAACTATAATTCCTAGCACTTTTCATTACTGACCATGCTGTAAGGAATTTCTGGGAGTTATAGTTTACCAGCATTTGGAAAACCACAGGTTCTCCACCTAATTTATGTCTCTTTGTACAGGATAACTACTAGTATTATACATGTCTCTGTTGAACCTTTTCCATACATGGGTTGAAGCTTGGAGATTTTTAATCTTTTGGCTCTGGGTCAATAAAAAAATAACGTTGAGTAAACAGTATGTCCTAATGTTACTCTTCCTTCACCTCTTCCAAAGAAGGAATACTTCAGTTTCTTCTTCTGCTTAATTTCAATCTAATATTTATTTTCCTCTTTTCATTTTAGCATTCCAGAGTGAACTGGGATCTTCACTCACAGGCAAGTTATTATCAAATTTTGAATCACTGTTGGGTTTTATCTCCCCAATAGTGCAGATCTCTTCAATAAAATCAATAATGTCTCTCCATCAGAAGTGCCAGTTAGATGGTATACAGAGACCCAACAATATAGGTCATGGCAGTTGTACAAAGTGTTCTCTAGGTTTTTTTAAAAACTAAAAGTTCAATTGAAATGATGCTGCTCATAATCTTAACCAAGCCAATCATCTTTAACTGTCCAGCAAGTGCAAGATGCAGTTAAGGAAGCATATGAGCCACTGTTGTACCAGACCCAGCCTTTGAAGAAGAATCTTTTGGAATCCTTTGAGATTTTCCTACAGAACAGAAATGTTTCCACTGTACGGTCCATGGTATGTTCCTTTTTTTGGCTGTTTGATGACTTAGAGCTCTTCACCTGTGTTGTAGCATCCTGTGTAAATATGGATTTATTTATTAGACTTGTACCTTGCCTTTATCATTGTTATAAATAACTCAACCAGGTAAATATTTGTAATAATCCTTCCTCCTCCTTTTCTTATAACAACCACCATCATTCCATTATTTCTCCATCCGTTTGCCTTATGCCTTTCATCCCTCTACCCTTTTCCTAATATTGCAAGCAGATTGCTCCAAACACATATCTTCTGGATGTGTTGGGAAAAGAGGTATCACCATTCTCAGCTAGTCTGCGAACTGTAGTGACAGCGCATTTGGAAGACTGTTTAAGTCATTTCTCCATGAGCATCTTCCATTCATACAGCCATTACGTTAAAATAACAAGAGTGAGAATGAGCTTTACATCAGTTAAGGATGGCTGGAAATACTTAACCTATTTTGGGATGTTGCCCAAGGAGGAGAATATCCCAAGAACTGCATATGCAGCAGAATGAGGTCATCATATTTGAAGCAAGTATGTAGTCTGTACTGCTTGAGTAGGAGACACGATTTTTGAAAATACACTCTTCTGTCAGTACAAATCAGCCTCCTTCTAAGGTCAGAAAAAGTTCTCCACAAATAAGATTTTTTTCATGAATTTCTATTGCTATCGGTAGTTGTAGTTGTTACTATTAAATAAGCTAAAAGTAAGTCAGAAAGTAGATTTTTTTTCCCCTGGATTATGGATTATGCTCCCCCAGAAATAGGCCTGGCCCCTTTGTTTTTGGTCTCCCAGAATATCCTAAAAATTCTTTTTTAAGTGAATAGATGGTAACTGAAGAAGAATGTTTAATTATATTATTCTGTTTTGAATTTTTATTTATGGATTGTTTATGTATATATTTATTGTTTACCACCCACAATTGATTAGAGTGATATTAAAATGAGGTACATAAATAAGTCCATCAATATAACTATGAATTGGAAAATCAGGTATATAAATAAATCAATCCTGCATATCAATACAGATTATGAAACAGGGGGAAAGGATCTGAATAAAAACCCTCCCTGCTAAGTTTACTCTTTTTTTTTTTTTTTTTTTTTTGCAGGACCATTTTTACACAGGGAAGGACAGGATCTCTCCTCATGCTTTTTGAAGCTGTTTGAAGTGGTACAGTCCATTCCATTATCTCAGGTCTCCTCAAGTTCTTTTGCTGCTTCTTTAGATTGGTATGTGTGGAATCCTGTCCAGATTAATTTCTGCTTGAATGTTTAGTCTAAGTCTCTATCACCAGTACTATCACTTTGCTCCAACTTCCTGTTTTTAACTGCATATCTTTTGCCTGTTTACTCCAAGCCTACTTCTACCCAGATGCATTTTCTCAATTCCTGTGAAAATATGTTCCAAGAACTTCTTGACTGCTACATAGCAGGACATAATTATTCTCAAAATTTGTGAACATTTACTCATTTCTTTATAGATTTATATCCTTTTTTTCCTCTTGGAGCTCAAGGTGGTATACATTGCATGCTTCCCTCCTTCTAATTCTTTTCCTACAACATCCCTGTGAGCAGGATTGAACTAAGATATAGTAACTGGCCCCAAATCATCTATCAAACATTCATGGCAGAGGTCAGGTCTGAATCACTACACCACATGGGTACAACCATACTGAGTTTATTATGTGGCAAATCTCTATTTCACCCCTACCTGACTGACTGATTGCTATAAATTTTCTCCCACCAGTTGGAGTCTTCCATGGCAGGTGACAATGCTGATCGCGCCAGTGGAAATGCTACTATCCTACTTAGGGATTTTCCAAGACACTAAGAGAGGAGAAAACCAAGATTTCTGGGAACCAATGCACTTCCTTTGCTCTTCTATAGATGGCCCAAGAAAATATTGTTTGGATATTGTTGTAGTTATATGATGCTCTTGGCTTTTTCAAGCTTTGAAGGTATGCCTGCGCCTGGCTCAGAACTTAGCAGGTCATTTGATGAGACATTTGAATGTTGCTGTTGTATTACTTCTTCAGCACTTCATGCACAATTTATAGCAATTTGTTTCAATGTAATATATATATATATATATATATATATATATATATATATATATATATATATAGTTGTTTTTAATTGCAAAGTCGTGTCTGACCCATCGCGACCCCATGGACAACATTCCTCCAGGTCTTCCTGTCCTCTACCATCTTCTGGAGTCCATTTAAGTTCACACCTACTGCTTCAGTGACTCCATCCAGCCATCTCATTCTCTGTCATCCCCTTCTTCTATTGCCCTCAATCTTTCCCAGCATTAGGCCCTTCTCCAGTGAGTCCTTCCTTCTCATTAGGTGGCCGAAGTATTTGAGTTTCAACTTCAGGATCTGGCCTTCTAAAGAGCAGTCGGGGTTGATCTCTTCTAGGACTGACCGGTTTGAACGCCTTGCAGTCCAAGGGACTCGCAGGAGTCTTCTCCAGCACCATAGTTCAAAGGCCTCAATTCTTTGGCGCTCAGCCTTTCTTATGGTCCAACTTTCACAGCATATATATGAACTATAACGTTATAGACACATCTTGGTTATCAGCTGGCCAATTAGGGCCAGTAACACGGTCTAGGAGCCGTGCGCAAACGTTACTTGAACCTACTTAAACCACCTTTATTGCAATGGCCTTTTAGCCCTGATGATGCTGGGGAGTTCCCCCAGCGAAAGCTTGGCAACTTTTTAGTATATTTTTAGTAAAGTATTCTTACTTCAACCTTCCCGGTGATTGTGTTTTATTCTTTTATTCAGAACTATAATCTGTAAATTGTATTTCAGTAGATTTTGTGTCTTTCAAATGAAAAGTCGGAAGCTGGAAGAAAAGGATTTTTAACAGTTAAATTAAATATGGAAGAAACACAATTAGCCATACTTTCTTCTGCATATATGCTACTATAAGATTAAGTTTGGCTAATCCAATTTCTCCCCCCAAACTGCTTCTGCCCGGCCTTAATTTCAACACAATCTTTTCAGCCTGGTTCAAAGAGTTGTGCTGTTTCTTTGTCATATTTTTAACTACTGCCATTAGATAAATATATTTATAAAATGGAGCAACATGATCTGGGCACTTATTATACAGATCAACACTGTTCTATTTGTATTGGCTCTCCAGACAGTACTATGGCTGGGTGGCTGTCTGTCTGTCTGTCTGTCTGGTGAAAGAAATGAAGGAAGGAAGGAAGGAAGGAAGGAAGGAAGGAAGGAAGGAAGGAAGGAAGGAAGGAAGGAAAGAAAGAAAGAAAGAAAGAAAGAAAGAAAGAAAGAAAGAAAGAAAGAAAGAAACAGATGGAACTCCTAGCTACTTCTGAATCCCTCTAGGGTTGATTCTACATCCAGATCTCCTAGTTGCCAAGGCACAGTTGTACCAGCTGATTTTTGTTGTTCACAGCACTTACTGCTCTATGATTGTTTTAAGAAATACAGTACCAAGTTTTATTTAGATGCCCACTGAAGAATAAGACTTTCCACTCATCTGAAAGTCTAACTGAAAGTCTAAATTTCTGTTATCAAAGAAGAGAAATGGAGCACATTTGTAAATTCCTTGCCCACAAATCCTTTCCCTCATCCCAAGTCTGAAGTGAAGAAAGAGTAATGCTGTAAAGTTGGTTCTGCAACAGAAACTACGATCAGTGGCAAAGAAGTAATAAAAGAGGCTTTGAGGAAAATTTTATATTCTGGAGGAAACAAAAAACTGTGAGGTATCAGGAAGAAGAAGAAAAATGAGTGTAGATAAGTTTCACATGTGACAACATCATGGTATGAATGATACTTGTCTCTGTTTTTGCATTAATAGATTTAGACTATGAGATGATGCTCCTCTTACAGAAAATGTTGGAAAAGAAACAACTGGCCAAACCAATGGATATGGTGAGCTATTATTGTCTTAATTCTTTGCTGTTATCTTTTTCTAATCTGCTATAATATACAATACTTTTTCAAACTCATACCAAACATGCATGCCTAAGATAGCAGGTAGCCAAAACTGAAGTTCTTCATCAGAACTCCATTGAGGTTTTATGTAAGGGTGCATTTAGGCAGAAATGTGTCAATTCCTTGGAAGATATTGATTCTCAGTTAAAAGGGAAATGCTCTATTTGTAAATTAGGCATCTTAGTACCCTTGTGGTCACTAGAAGATCTTCTGCCATATGCCAAATCCCTTTTCAGAACATTGTTTTCATTTATTATGTTTTTAAGAATCACAGCTCCTGCTGAGAGAGCAATGAGTCAAAAGTGTGGCTAGAAATTGTCAGCTCTGGTGAAGAAGCAAAAAATGGCAGGCAGGTTTTCCCAGGCTCCAGTTTGTTGCATGGAATTCCAAGTAGCATGTCCTGATCCAGTCATAGATTATTTTCCATGTCTGGCAGGACTTTGAATATTATACTTAGGATTGATTTGATGGTGAAAGTTGGAAGACTTGAAATTTCTGTGCAGTGGCTTGGGGATGTTGACAGGGAGACTGCTTTGAAGGCCAGGCGAAGAAGGAAGCCTGTGTGAGTTTCGTCCTTCAATATAAATTAAATACAAAGCCATATGAAATGATCTGCCAGGGCAAAGAGGACTAAAGAAGGACTATTTGCCCTTGGCCGCAAGCTCAAAGGAAGCATGAAATGTAGGTCATTCATTCATTCATTCATTCATTCATTCATTCATTCATTCATTCACCCACTCATTCATTGAATTTAGAAACTACTCATCTCCCTCACAGAGGAACCCTGCACGTGTACAAATAAAATATAAAAACATAAAACTTTGCATAAATATTACATTAGAAGGAAAAGTTAAAATTTAAAGTTAAAAAAGCAGGGGGAGGCCTTCAAGAGGTTAACTAGTTTCATCATTGTAGGCATCTCTGTGAGCTCCGAGCAAGACATCAGAGCCAAATTTCCAGGTATTTCTGAGGCCAGGAGGGTGGGAGCCTGCCTCACCTCTGGAGGAAAAATGTTCCACAGGGTAGGGGCAATAACAGATAAAGTTTTCTTCCTGCACTCTGCAAGTCCACATTCTTTAACTGTTGGGACTCATGCCTGAGCTGGGGGGGGGGCAGATGGACTGATCTAATGGGGTAAAGATGGTTCTGGGCACCATGCCATGTAGGACTGTAATAGTTATAATTAGCACTTTGAATTGGATCTGGAAACAAGTCAGCATCCAATGTAGCTTGCACAGAAGAGATATTACATGTGCCATCCTTGGGGCACCCACAATTCCCCATGAGGTCACAATATGTACCAGTTCAAGCTTCTGGATACTTTTCAAGGATGGCCCCATATAGAGTCCATTGCAATAGTCCAAATGGGATATGACACGGGTGTGAGTGACTGACTGAAGAACCTCTCTGTCCAGTAAAGGGCATAACTGGTGCACACAGCATGAAATTGAGCAAAAGCTCTCCTAGCCTGCCAGCTATTCTTTGAGTAGGAGTTGTAAGTCCAGAACACCGAGGTTATATACTGGATCTGTCTGTCCCATCCAGTAATTAGATTATGTCTCCTTTGTTTTTAAATTACGTTTAAAAAGATTATTCAGTTGCAATCCAAAACATTTATTTGGAAAAGGCTGCTGTACAAGAGATCCAAAATAGGAGGTCTCCATCAGTTTCAGCATTTGTGATTTGGAATATGACTGGCCTGGGTGATAATGAGCTGCCCAATCCGAAATTTAAAAAAAGGAGAAGATCTCATGATTATTGCTGCAGTTTCTATTGATTCTATCTCTGACTAGCCAGTTACTTGCATTTGTAAATTGGTCTTTTCATTCTCTTTCTCTCCCACCCCTTCTTTTCCTTTTCTCTCTCATTTGTTCTCCTGCTTCACTTCTAAAGATTTTGGAAAGGATTCTTTCTGGTGAAGAATGTGGCAATTTCACTCTTCTATCTCATTCCCTGATGAAGGAGGAAATTGATCTGAACCTTGATATGCTGCAAATCTGCGGGCTAGATTTAGAAGTTGGGGAAAATTCCATCACCTGCCAGTGGAATAATGATGCCTGCTCAGAATTGGCTGCTCTATACTCCAGCTTGTCTGCCCTGAAGATCCTAAGAGGATGAAGGAGGAACCAATACAGATTCTAAAAAGACTATGTTTTTGTGACTGCAAAAGGTCCACCAGACTGAACTAAAACTAATATTTTTAAAAAAATAGTACTTAGAAGTTCAAAATACCTCTTCAGTTTTAGATAGGCTAATATTTCCCATTTCCTTGTAGGAAATAACGAGAAGTAAGAAATTGTGGATATTAGCTGCTGAGGAGTTTCCTACCTGATTGCCTACAATTTTCAGTAATTTTTCTATGTTATATATTTTCCTATATTATAATATTTCCTATATTAAGGATGAGTTGCATCCTTATGGCTAAGGGGCTTGAGCATGTTTGAAGTTAGATTTTAAATTAATTACATTTTGATTATTGCAAGAGTCTTGGAAAAAAACTGAGGAACAATTACATAGGGCCACCATTGAAAAGTATCTGCAAACTTCAGACTGCTGTAAAGTACAGCAGTGTGAGCACTTATGTGTGATTCTGGTGATATCTCTGCTTTGCGAGCCACATTGGTTACTAGTTTGTTTTCAGATCCAATTCAAGGTGCTTAAATTGACCTTTAAAGCCCTTCATGATATGGGACAGAGTTATTTAAGGCAGAGTTCCCCAACCTTTTCGGGTTGACAGCCTGGAGAGGGGGAGGAGAAAAAAGAGGATGGTTTTGTGGGAGGGGAAGGTATGCTCATGCTCACACAAGTGGGGTCGAGAGTACCCATGACACTCGTGTGAGTGAGGCCATGAGCATCCATGACTTGGGACTTGGGTGGCAACTTTGTTTTACTGTAGAGTCTTCTTTCCACTGAAGTGAGGTTTACCTTGTCTCTATGGAGTTTCTGGAGGTCCTTCAAGACCTGGTTACACCAGCAGGCTTGGACATCAGGCGGTAGGTGGACCAATGAGGTGGTTCCATTATTTTTAACATCCTGTCATCTATTATTCTTTGTTTTACTTTATTTGTATATTTTAATGTATTTATTAACTGTTTTAGCAATGTTGTATGCTGCCCAGAACTGCTGTCTTGTGAGATGGTTAGCTATTTTAAACAAACAAACAAACAAACAAAACTATTGTATTTGGTTGGTCATTTCACTAATGTTATGTGTGGACATTTCATTCATTTTATGTGTTACAAGCTTATGATACTCACTCCATAGGTTTTCATATATCATAGGAGGAGGTGATGAGAAGAGTAAATAAAATAAAATGGATTTACTTTTCAAATGGTATTGACATCCAAATCCTATAACTGGAAGTTGTAATTGTTGCTGTTGTCCAGCAGTGTAGATGTGTTTGGTGTACCAAACTAACCATGTTTATTTCTGACTTCATCTATTATACTAATGAGCCTCAGATAAAAGGGTAGAGAAAAATCTTTCCTAATTAGTACACTATAAAATTTTTAAAAATCCAATAAAAGCTTAGCTTCAAAGACCATAGTCAGAGATTAGGCTCATTGATCATCCTCTATTATGCATCATGGTTTGTTGTTAAACATAATTTTTGAAGAGCCATAATGACTTCAACACAAAACTAGAATTCTCAAATCACAATGGGTCAGTCTACACATCAAAAGATATGGCTTAGAGCTGTGATTTTCAAATTCTGTTTCCTGGAACCCAAGGGTTCTGTAAAAATCAGCCAGGAGTTCAACATGAAGTTGCCATTTGTATTATGTGAAATTTAATATTGCAATATTAATTGAAAAGTTTTGTTCAAATAAAATGAATTACTTTAAATGTATTTATTAATATGCTTCAAAATGATTTTTTTTTTTTTACATTGAGAAGGGTTCTTCTGGTATCTCACCAGTAGCTTAGAATTACTTGTGAAGTGAGGGAATTCCTAAATCCTACAATTCCAAGAGACAGGTTCCAGGGCCTTCCCTTGATGCATCACCAAGGCACTGATTTGATTTCAGAAATGGTAATATCTGAAACTAACGGCAAACACTTTATCCACCTTCTTTTTGGATGATGATCAGCAGCTGCCGTACACGTGACCTATGTAATGATCTTCAGTTTCAACTGAGAGTAAAATGCCCCAATCTGTTTGACTTCCAAACTCAGCATGAAACTTGGAAAAAATAAATAGCACATTCCAGATTGAGAAGATGCTTTCCAGCCAGCTTCAGCCCTACCATTATCTTTTACACTTATTTGGAAAGTCCTATCCCTATTTGCAGTTTACTATGATGATTTCATGCCTCAGGATCCCTCATGATTGCAAGATAAATAACTGTTCATATTCTGTTATAAGAGTATTTCTCCTCCTTATGCTGGCCTAGTCTCTTCATAGATTCAGGTATTCTGTAATACTTTATCACCCATTATTTGGAAATGAGGTTAGTTCTTGTAGGCATGATCAGTGAAGTGGTCTCAGAGTGATGAAAGCGTGCCTGATCCCTCCAATCACAGCTGTATCTGTCACAGCTTTTTCTCTCCTGGTGTTGCCATTTTTATTTTGGTTCTTGAATTGCTTTACTATCTGTCACCCTACTTCATTTTTTGAAATCAATTTATTTCCAGGTTTCCAATAAAGAAGAGAACAAAAGACCTCTGCTCTGTTATTAGAGTAGAAAAAGGAGGTGTATTTGCCCAATTTGATTCTGACAGTGAAATGAGCAGATATCCACTATTTTAAATATGAAGAAAAGGAGACATATTTGTGCAGTTCTGTGCTGATGGTATTCTGAAATGGAGATCTGTACATCAAAGGTGATTTTTATCTATTACTGCAGTGTCCAGAAAATAATAAGAAAGTTTTTTGTATCTGTTTGCCATTTTCCCCTCCCTCTCCTTGAAGTAAAATGCCAAACCTTTTCAGTTCTCTAGAATTTATGAGCTGCCCAATTTATTTTCATTATGATGTCTTCCCATATCTTTATTTTGGAGAAACCCAAAGGAGTGTAGCAGGAAGAGCTGAGAAAACAGCTTAGAGAAGTCTGAATACAACCCTGAAATTGGTCCCATTCTATTTGTATTGAGAATACCCCATTGATAGATGTTTTATCCATTGGTTGGTGATATGCTTCAGAGGGTTAGCAGAAAATCCAGGGGACAAAATCCAAACATTTTGTCTATAGCAAGTGGCATACATACTTGGGAAAATATCCCTTGGTATTGATACAGTACAGGAACTGATACATAGAAACAGAATAGGAATTGGGATTAGTGACAATGTTATTCCAGTTTTGTCTGGTGCCAGCTCAGAGACAGGTAGACAATCCTTTAACTTATTTGTGAGAAAATATTGTTTTGGCCTCCCAGGTTTCTGAATAAGATCACATTTACATATTCTCCAATCCAGCTTCAAGATAGTTCACCTTCAATTTGTTAAGGACACAGCTGTAAAACAGATCCCCACTTCACCCTGAGGCTGAAGCCAAAGGAAGGTGATCCAGCAAAAAAGTAGTATTTCCCATCAGAAAATGGAAGAAAACCACTTTAGGTGAAAACTTTTCCAATTGAAGAGGTGTCCTATTAGGCTCAATTTGCCCACTGTGAGAATGCCCTCTCCCATCTGTCTATTCTTCTTCTCTTCTTCTGTGGCCTTTTTTTTTTTTTTTTTTTTTTTGCTTTGTCTTAGGAGAGAAAAAAAACTCAACCAGGAAACCTCTATTTTTCAGCCAAGGAAATAATGATCTTGTGGAAAACCAACTGGGGAGTACTATGACTGTCAAATGCCAGAGAGAAAGTTTCTGAAAGAAAAATACTGATTGCTGCTCTTATTCCTGTTACCCATTTGGGCCTGATCACTCAACTAGAATGACTCTGCTGACTTATTGCAACATGGTCTTAGTGTGGCTAGACTTTCACATAGCTGAAAGGTGATTTCTTTAGAAGGGGAGCGGCAGAGTAAGCTGCTGTCCTTGTGTGTATGCAGTGACTTTACCAGTCTCATTCTTGATCTGTAGTAATACAAATACTTTAAGATTTGTTGTTCTTCAAAGAGACCTGCTTTGCTTCTGTCTTAAAGAAGATGGAAAGCACATCAATGATGTCCTCTGTGGGTGTGAGGATGAGTCTAGATGACCTTCAACTTTACTATGTGGTCTCTATAGACTTAGAATAGAATAGAGCTGGAAGGGAACTTGGAGGTCTTCTAGTCCAGCCCCCTGCTCAAGCAGGAGAACCTATACCATTTCAGACAAGTGACTGTCCAATATCTTCTTAAAAATCTCCAGTGATGGAGCACCCACGATTTCTGAAGGCAAGCTGTTCCACCGGTTAATTGTCCTCACTTTTAGGAAGTTTCTCCTTAATTTCAGGTTGCTTCTCTCTTTGATCAGTCTCCAACCATTGTTTCTCGTCCTTCCCTCTGGTCCTCTGGTGAACAACATGACACTCTCTTCTTTGTGGCAGCCTCTCAAATACTGGAATACTGCTATCATGTCACCCCTATTTCTTTTTTTCTTTAGACTAGCCAAACCCGAGTCCTGCAGCCGTTCTTCGTATGTTTTAGTCTCCAGGCCTTTAATCATTTTAGTTGCTCTTCTCTGAACTTGTTCCAAAGTCTCAACATCTTTTTTGTAGAATGGTGACCAAAATAGGTTGCAGTATTCCAGGTATGGTCTTACTAGGGTTTTATAAAGCGGTACTAATATTTCATGTGATCTTGATTCTATCCTCTGTTTATACAACCCAGGATTGTATTAGCTTTTTTGGCTGCTGCTGTACAATGCTGGCTCATAGTCAAGTGATCATCTACTAGGAATCCAAGGTCCCTCTCACAGTTGCTGTTTTTGAGCCAGATCTTGCATAATCTGTACTTAAACCTTTGATTTTTCTTCCTCAATGTAAAACTTTGCTTTTCTCCACATTAAAACTCATTTTATTGGATAGAGCCAGTGGTGGGATTCAGCCAGTTCGCACCAGTTCGGCAGAACTGGTAGCTAATCTTTTGTTGCCCAGCCCCAGAATGGACTTCCTGAGGTGGCATCCACACAGAGAACTGGTTATTCACATATTTAATCCCACCACTGGATAGGGCCCATTGTTCAAGTTTTTCAAGATCTTTTTGGATCCTGAGCTTGTCTTCTGGGGTATTGGCTATTCCTGCCAGTTTGGTGTCATCTGCAAATTTGATAAGTTCCCCTTCTATTCCCTCATCTAAGTCATTAATGAAGATATTGAAGAGTATTGGGCCTAAGATGGAGCCTTGTGGTAGCCCACTGCTTACTTCTCTCCATGTGGATATAGTACCATTGAGGGCTACTTTTTGAGTACAGTTTGTCAGCCAGCTAATCAGATCCATCTGATGATGTTATCTCACTTTTTTTCTAGCTTACTAAGCAGCAGGTTGTAGTCTACTTTGTCAAATGCCTTACTGAAGTCTAAGTATACTATGTCCATAGCGTTTCGCTGGTCTACTAATTTAGTCACTTTATCAAAGAACTAACTCTGGATATTTAATGTTACTGATACAAAGTCTTTTTCCAGGGTAATAACCAACTAATATATGGATAAGGGCTTCCAAATTCTCATTTTTGACAATAGAACATTATTCCTTAATCATAATTAAGGAATCCAGATATGAGCTGCAATAATCTGCATATCAACTGGATGTTAGTAAAGAGACATAGAAAATTCCAATTCTTTGCTTCTGTCTGACAGTCAACCAGTTTTTTTAGATAGATTAATTCTAATTCAATTGACCCAAGTGAATTTTCAAAAAATATGGAAAAAGATTTAAACATCTATCCTGGATATTGTCTGAAGATATGATAAAAAAAATCACAAAAATATAGCTTCATACTTGAAGACACTTGGTCTTCAAATTGACTATTCAGACATGTTCTGCCTTTTCTCTCCAATATCGGATCTCAACCTTTCCATTCAGAAAGCACACAGGCTTTCCTCTGTGCTTCCCATACTATCTACATGCTATTTTACAAAATCCAGATTTAACATTAATCAAAAATCAATGAAAAGTCCACACACTTTTATATTTTTGTTAAACAAATTTATACGGCCACCTATCTCACACAACTCTGGGCAGCAAACAACAATAAAAATTTAAAACCTCAGTTGAAACTCATCACCCTTCCTCTTCCCTACAGAAGCAACAAACACAATTATTTTATTAAACAAATTCATATTGCTGCCCAATCATATAAATGTTGTCTAATTTTGTGAGCCAATGTTTTAGACCAGCAATTTCTTGTAATTTTTTAAATCTATGTAATAATGTGTGTGTGTGTGTGTGTGTGTGTGTGTGTGTGTGTGTGTGTGTATGTGTATGTAAAACCACTTATAGTTGCAACATTTCATATGGAAGCTTTCTATGCATTCTACCACATTGTATAACTGATAATAAAATGCCTTTAAATTTTAAATCCTTCCATTCTTTGACAAATTTTTTCAAATAAAAATTTTAAAATTTAAATTACCCAAATGCCTAGATAACACTTTTGCATATAAAATTCAATAGTGTTTCCTTCTTTCTAACTTTTTTTCAAATATTAGAACAAGACTAATGCTACTGGTTCTTGATTATTAGAGCCCTGGTTGTGGAAAACCCACAATCTTTTCCAGCAGATTTTGGAGGAGGGTTCAGATATACTCCCTCTTTTAACTCTTTAGTTATGGATATCCAAGGAGAATTTCCCTCTATTTCCTCTTTATTTCTTACTCTACCTGTTCTTTGTTTACAAGATTCCGAGTCTTAGCATCTTCCATGTTGTCTTTCCTCTCTCCAACATAGATTTCATCCTTGTAGATGCTAGGTTTTTCTGCCTATCTTCTGAATTCCTGCTAAACAAATCTTTCTTTTAAATTACCATACCTGCTTCACTAATCTTGATTTGCTTTTCACTGTCTAGGAATAGGCATTCAAACTGCTTCCTCCAATTTTTGCTTTCCTAGGACTATTTTACAGATCCTTCAAAAATTATACCAGTGTAAATTTGATAATATTCAGAGATGGAATTACTGAATAGTGCATAGAGAATTAGATTCCAGAGTTCAGTTACATACCGCTTGAAGAGCATGACTAATTAGCCGTAAAAGATAACTATTTCACTTCTTGTTCAGTGATCATAGCAACTGGTAGAATTTATGTTGTTTAAATATTATGAAGTTTGGCATTTTTCATACTCTGTTATCAGTTGCCAATAACATGGGATATAAATTCTGCTACACAACAAACTCAATGCGTAACTACTATTTTTCACTTGGAATCTTGAATTTAGCATAACATCTAGTTCGACTCAATGACACAGCAGTAAATGATGAGATAACAAGATGCCTTGCAGCAATTCTCCTGTTCTTATTTTGAATTTATTTAGCAGGATTTTGCTCCATAGTGTTTAATCCGGATGCTTGTACAAGGCTGGCAGGTTATGTCATTGTTTGGGCTGTAACTTCCAGGGTCACAGGCAACTACAAATGAAATAAACAGTGTGTTAGTTAGAGAAAGGAAGCCATTTGCCCATTGTTGACATTTTTTGCAATACTTGAATCTCATAGGACATATACTTACAGATGCAATATGCTGGGTTTGAATTATATAACATGAATTAACAATATGAATAACATGAGAAAGATAATATTGTGTCTCCTTGAAACTTGAAGAGATGGGAAAGGTGCAATTTATATCAATGAAAGTGATGTGGTCTGTGGAGTAGAGCTATCAGACATGCCGGGAAGTAAAGGTAAAGATTTAATTTTGAATGAAAGGGATAAAAAGCATACCAGAAGGTATGAACTGGCATGATCTAGGTCATTGTGAGTAAATATGAAAGCAGAACGCTATAAGAGGGTGATAACTGAAGAACCAAGGATGAGCTGGGAAGAAAATTATGCAATGTTCTAAATCAATGTGATCTGTAGGGGAGAATTTTTCTGCTGGATGACAGGACTGACTGGTAGATATGAGACAAGAAGTACAAAATAAGTGATTGGGCTTTTTTGTCTTTTTTTGGTACCTTTATTTCATTGTTGACACTTGATGACTGCTTAGACAAATCTCTACTGTTTTCTTGGCAAAGTTTTTGGAAGTAGTTTACCATTGCTTTCTTCTTCCTAGGGCTGAGAGGAAGTGATAGTCCCAAAGTCACCTAGCTAGCTACGTGCCTATGGTGGGACTAGAACTCACTGTCTCCTGGTTTCTAGCCTGATGCCTGAACCACTACATAAAATGGGTTTTCCTACCTTATTAATAATTAATAATAATTTCCTACCTTATTAATTTTATTTACAAAATTTAGAACTAAAATATTTTATATGTTACTGGCATAATAATATAAAGCCACACTTTCTGTGGCTCTCTCTAGTTTTATATTATATTTGACTAAAATAAAGACTGCAGATAAGGAAAAGTGCATATATGAAAATGATGGCTACTAAAGTGAAGATGAGAGAATGAGTGTATACACAGAATATATGCAGAAAAATAGGTAGATGCAATTAATGCAATAGAAAAGATGAGGGAACAGATAAGATTAAAAGAGAGAGTGCAGAATGATTTGATAAAAATAAGGAATTCTTCTGAAATTGAATAGAAAGGACTGAACAAAGAGTATTCCTCAATCAAGAGGAACACCAGAGATTGAAACATGAGAAAACAAAGATATTCAAAGTGATGCTATAATTGAACTCCTCCTCCTCCTCCTCCTCCTCCTTTTAGCAATACTGTAAGTACAATTGCACACAATTTCAATAAGAAAAAAAAATGAAGATGGTGGTGGGCGAAGAGCCAGGAAGTTATCTGGGATACATGGAGAGCTTTCATAGTACATGCACAGGATACGGAAACTGGGTATAATCACAAAGGAAAACTACTAGGAGGTAGCTGATGTTGGCAGGAAAATAGAAAGGCTAAAACTAAGGTGACCAACTTTTTTACAATTAAAAGGAGGACACAAATAAATTGAAGAAAAAAATATTGTAAATAAAATAAACATTTTATTCATTGCAACAATAATACAGACAACTTGCATGTGCAAAGTTTGCCAGCCGGGTGTTTTGGCGCGCTCAGCAGCAATTCTTATTGGCTTTTGAAAGCCAATAGGGGGAATAGCACAGCTCATGCAAAAGTTGAAAAAAAAAACCATCAAAAAAAAAAGGTGCCGGAATGCCGTTCTGAGCATTCTATGAGGGGAAAAAAAGCCCTGCAGTTTAGTCTTCAAATATCGAAAAGGAGGACATGAAGGAGGACACTTTTCGAGGGAGGACAGAACTTACAAAAGGAGGACTGTCCTCCCTAAAGAAGGACGGTTGGTCACCTTACTAAAACACACAGTGAACTGAGCTCAGAAAAGAAGCTAAAAGTAACAAAAGGAAGAAAAAGGAGCAGCTGGACTAAATAGTAAGATACTGATAGATGATCATGAAATCAGAACTTCTCGTCCTACTTTGCTTTCTCCATAAAAAGGAGCTGTGTTCAGATGGAAGTATGAAGAGTGACTGACACAAGAGTGGTGGTAGTAGAAACAGCATATAGTCTAGAGGCCAATAATAAGATTTAAAAAGATCGTGATACAGTGGAATAATCTTAGTGACAAAACTGAGTAAAATTACAGAGAACATTTGATAACCCAGAACAGTATTTGAAAACTACCTGTAGCAATCTAATATAATCCCTTTTGGAACATTACACTGTGCAGCTATAAATCTTGTAGCAGAAAAGAAAAACTGAACCCTAAATCAAATTTAGTAAAAATATTTTTTCCTAAAACGGTTTTTGTCAAAATAAATTAACCAAGAAGCCAAAAGGATTTAACCACTGGAATGTAATCTATGGCCAATCACAAATTGGTTGTGAGGATAAATCAAAAGCAGAGTCCTTGAGAAAAAAAGCACATGGATAAAATAAATACCACAGCAATTTGCACAATCATTGTGGATGAAGTCGTTTTTCCCAAACCCTGGGCGACAGCTGTCTAATCGAGTGACTTGGAAACTGTGATCTATGTAATGGATTGCAGGGATGTTCACAAACTCATGTTTCAAGATGTACCATTGTTCACGGAAAAACTTTTCAATGAGCCCTCGAGCCTAAAACATTAAAAGAAGAACATTAACAAATGAAATCATAGGAATAAACCTTGATGCCCAGTGATCTGGAATCTTGCTCATGTAATGCAAGGCAAATCAAAGGGTAAGCTGCCTGGAGAGCTTCTAGGCCTCACTGTAGGCAAATTAAATTGAAGAGTGCATGTGGCCAATCTTTGCAGTTTGTTTTGCTCCCCCCCACACACATACCTTTCACAGATTTCCGGAAGGAAAGGCTATTTCTTATTCAGTCCACTTTACAACTTTATTTATTGAAACTTATTGGGTGCCCAACTCTAATGGACTTTAATTGTAAAGATAAATCAGAAGCACATTCCTCAATAAAATAATCACGTGAATAAAATAAATGCCGTAAGAATTTATATCAGTGTTTCTATAAACCTCTAGGTCAATCTTCTCTGGTCTTTGTTCTCTCTGTTTGTGTGGGAGAGCTGCCAGCGTACATAACACTTGTGTTGTAATTTTGTGTTTTGATAAAATCCCTGCATTGATTTCAGATAGATTTCAAGGTGTTTTTGTGATTCAAAGTCTGATTTTAACCCCAAGGGGCTTAGATGTTTTGGCTCCCAGCTACTCTCAGCTACCTCTTCTAAATGGAATCGAACAATCTGACACATTTTTTTTATTTGAGAAATCATGAGTTTTCTCTCAGTTTAGGGGCAGGGGCCTAGAAACAATGTTTCTGGGTGATGGCACTTCTTCTATGCTATGCATAAATCTTGATGGTATTCTGAAAGCTGCTTAAAACAATCAGTGAGAGAATGGATTTCTCTGATTTTGGGTTGGATTTAATTGTTATTTATAAAGTCTTATAGAAAAATGATCTGCAAGCTGTCCTTAATCTAATTTAGTAACACTGAAGAAAGTGACTGTGATACTTCATTGTACGTTGAAGTATATAATTTTTACTTTATTTATTTATTTTGGCATGAACACAGCTTATCTGGTTCAGGATGACTTAATTTTATTTTATTTTTCAGACTCTAAGGGATGCAGGGCAATTGTGCTGATGCATCAATGTCACTGAATGGGAAACTTTTTTCGCTTTTTAATTGGTAGGAGTTGGATATTTACTTATCTTTATTGTTGAAGTTTCAAAGGTCTCTATGCTTTGGTATCCTAATTTCTACCCCCATCACTGAATTGTGCATTTTGCTGCTAAAGTTAAATAGTTACATCTGCAGGGAGATTCCAGGGGCTGCAATAGGTTCTTGCACAACCTGCAATTTGACACCTTCTAAACTATTTCTAAACTATTTGGTACTTTGAGTATCCAGAAACATGCCAGTTTGAAAAAGTCTGATAAACTCCCTCTAACCTTATGTACATGGCTGTTGGTAATGTCTTCACAGTCAGTGGTAATTTGACGGCAACTAACCTCCCAGCCAGGGGCAAATGGATTTACTAAGTGACAAAAAGAGATAAACATTTGCAGATAAAAATATAGTTTTCTATGAATTGTGCCTAAATATAATAAATAATTAAAACCTGGGCATTGAAATGGGACTCACAATCGTATGGATTTATGATTTCAGTCACAAAGGCTATTTCTCCTTGGGCTACAACAACTGTGCCTTATATACAGCTGTTCCTAGGAAGAACAATTAATTCAGAAGAGATATAACCTTTTAATGAAGTTCCATCTTTGAGTTAGCCAGGCCAAAATATCTACAGCAAATTGTTACTGTGAAAGTGGATGGAAGTGGGAAAAGAACAGATGTCTGAATCCCACTTTATCTGATGAGGTACCATGGACAGCAGCTAAAAGAAGCATTTTCACACTGGCTGTCAAAGTTTCCTGAGGAAATATTTTCCAATTTTTCTATGCCCTCCCCCAAATTGCAATGAATTCATGATATATATTCCACTCATGGTGCAGATTAGTCATACATTCGCTTCATGTAAACAGTGCAACAGACTCCATCTTTCAGCTGAACTTTTAATAGAGGTATAGAATTTTTTGCTAATGCTGAATTAAATAAAAAGATTTAACCTGTAAGAGCCCCCTGCCCAAATACAGCAGAAGCTCTGGTGTTAATAATTAGCCTGCAATAAATTTCTGTTCAGGGTTTTCTATGGATTATCCATAGCAAACCTTTTGTGACTGAATTCAGGAGAATATATTTTGGAGTGACACAATCTTGGAATTTTCAAGGGGAAGAACTAATGCAGCTCATTTCAGAAACAAAATGAGAACAGCTAGGTATGTATCAAATGGATAAAATCTTATGTTTGCAAGAACACAGAGCCAAATTAAAGGGATTCTGGTTTGATGGAATTATACCATCAATAAGAAAGGCACTGAAAACATAGTTATATTGAACAGGGACTCTTTTCCCGCAATCCAGCTCCACATAGATTGTCCAGATAAGATAAAAAAGTATCACTTTTACATTACCTTGAAAAACAATGAATAGTTCATCTACTAATCCATGTTTGGGTCGCTTGACAGAAAAACATCTGTATGATGAATCAACAATGTGGCATTTCAGATAATCAAGCAAATTATTTAAGATTTTCTGTAGTTCTTCAAAGAATTGTCTATTAGCTGCTAGATTGCATTCTTTAGTAGTAAAGTGAACAGATATACGATAAGTATAGTCTGGTTCCCGATATGCTTCAAAAAACAGGAAGAGGAAGGAAATATAATGTAAGTGGCAGAGAATGTAATATATTGTTGCTCTTCATATTTCTTACTTTATTATCTACATGCATTAGAAATTCTATATGGAATAAAAATCTGGACATTCTCCTTGAGAAAGTGTCCTTTTGAAGTATCTACCATCTTGACAAACTGATGAGTTGAAGTCTACGACTATGCTACAGTCGGACTTTGGGATAGTCATTTCAATAATGTGGTTTATTTTCTTTTTCTCATAATTTATCAAGAAGGATTGTCATGCAGTGGATGGAAAGAATAATATCTTCATAATATCTGTGTATATGTGTATATTTCTGTCTGCTACTTAAACATGCATGTTCCAGAGAATACTTGGGTTAGCATATAGATGTTGCAATAAAGAAAAGAAAAGAAATTTAAAAACAGGTACTTCAGTGAAGATGTAATTATGGAACGAAAATTCTTAAAACTGTTGAGGTTAAGAAATCTGGCCCAAAGATCTAGCTCTGGCTTTTGATTGATTGATATGCACGCAATAATAATATAATATAATATAATATAATATAATATAATATAATAATAATACAATACAATACAATACAATACAATACAATATAATATAATATACTCCTTCATGGATTACTGCCTTGTCGTGGTGAAGGGCTTGCGTAACTCAGTGAAGCTATGAGTTATGCCGTGCAGGGCCATTCAAGATGGACAGGTCATAGCAGAGAGTTCTGACAAAATGTGATCCACTGGAGAAGGAAATGGCAATCCACTCCAGTATCTTTTCCATGAAAACTCCATGGACAGTACCAAAAGGCAAAAAGATATGACCCTGGAAGATGAGCCTCTCAGGTCGGAAGGTGTCCAATATGCTACTGGGAAAGAGAAGAGGGCTAGTACTAGTAGCGCCAGAAAGAGTGAAGCGACTGGGCCAAAGCCGAAAGGACGCTCAGCTGTGGATATATCTGGTGGTGAAAGGAAAGTCCGATGCTGTAAAGATCTTTTCTCCATAGGAACCTGGAATGTAAGATCCATGAATCAAGGCAAACTGGATGTGGTTAAACAAGAGATGACAAGACTGAATATCGACATCTTAGGAATCAGTGAACTAAAATAGACAGGAATGGGTGAATTTAATTCAGAGGACCATCTGCAAGCAAGAATCCCTCAGAAGAAATGGAGTTGCCTTCATAGTTAATAAAAGAGTAGGAAAAGCAATACTGAGATACAATCCCCAAAACAACAGAATGATCTCAGTGCGAATCCAAGGTAAACCATTAAATATCACAGTAGTCCAAGTCTATGCCCAAGCCACTGGTGCTGAGGAGGATGAAATTGACTGGTTCTATGAAGCCCTACAGCACCTTATAGAATCAACACCAAAAAATGATGTCCTTATCATCATGGGGGATTGGAATGCTAAAGTAGGAAACCAAAAGATAACTGGAATAATAGGCAAGTTTGGCCTTGGAATACAAAATGAATCAGGGCACAGGATGATAGAATTTTGTCAAGAGAATATGATGGTCATAACAAACACTCTTTTCCAACAACCCAAGAGACGGCTCTACACATGGACATCACCAGATAGTCAACACAGAAATCAGATTGACTATGTGCTCTGCAGCCAAAAATGGAGAAGCTCTATACAATCAGTAAAACCAAGACCAGGAGCTGATTGTGGCTCAGATCATGAGCTTCTCGTTGCAAAATTTAGGCTTACATTGAAGAAAGTATGGAAAAGCACTAGGCCACTCAGGTATGAAGTAAATCATATTCCTGATGAATATACAGTAAAGGTGACAAATAGATTTAAGGAATTAGATCTGATAGACAGAGTGCCTGAAGAGCTATGGATGGAAGTTCACAACATTGTACAAGAGGTAGCAACTAAAACCATCCCAAAGAAAAAGAAATGCAAGAAAGCAAAATGGCTGTCTGAGGAAGCTTTGCAAATAGCTGAGGAAAGAAGGGAAGCGAAAGGCAAGGGAGAAAGAGAAAGATACATCCAATTGAATGCAGAATTCTAGAGAATAGCTAGAAGAGATAAGAATGTCCTCTTAAATGAACAGCACAAAGAAATAAAAGAAAACAATAGAATAGGGAGAACCAGAGATCTCTTCAAGAAAATTGGAGATATGAAGGGAACATTTCATGCAAAGATGGGCATGATAAAGGACCCAAATGATAAGGAGGCAGAAGAGATTAAGAAGAAGTGGCAAAATTACACAGAAGAACGAGCTTAGCATCCCTGATAACCATGATGGAGTGGTCACTGACCTTGAGCCAGACATCCTAGAATGTGAAGTGAAATGGGCCTTAGGAAAGCTGAACAACAACAAAGCTAGTGTAGGTGACAGTATTTCAGCTGAGCTATTCAAAATCTTAAAGGACAATGCAGTAAAAGTGCTACACTCAGTTTGCCAGTAAATTTGGAAAACTCAACAGTGGCCACAGGGTTGGAAAAGGTCAGTTTACATTCCAATTCCAAAGAAAGGCAATGCCAAAGAATGTTCAAACTATCGCACCATTGCACTCATTTCACATGCTAGTAAAGTTATGCTTTAAATCCTACAAGCTAGACTCCAGCAGTATGTGGATCAAGAACTTCCAGAAATAAAGGCAGGATTTCGCAGAGGAACTAGAGATCAAATTGCCAATATAATTCATATTATATCATATCATATAAAATTACATCATATATGATATCATATATCATATCATAAATATCATATAATATACATTATATACATTTCCCAGTATCATTTTGGCACAACACAAAAACATGTATGTGTTTTTGGTATCACATAAAATAGTATAAACTGCTTGCAATCGGGCAAAATGCCATACTAGATGAAAATGGGATTGATATATTTTTTGGTTCTATGTACTGTGGAAAACCAATTCATTTTCTTAGCACTGTACTAATCAGGCTATCACATTTAAGGATATAAGAATATATAAACATATAAGGAACGGCTGCTGGAATTGGGTATGTCTAGTTTAATGAAGAGAAGGATGAGGGGGGACATTTATTTATTTATTTATTTATTTATGAGACTTATATACCGCTTTAAGTGCAAGCACTCTCTAAGCGGTGTACATCAGTAAGCAATGTATATATATATATATATTTACATTGCCCCCAACAATCTGGGTCCTCATTTTACCTACCCCGGAAGGATGGAAGGCTGAGTCAACCTTGAGCCGGTGATAGCAATGTTCCAATATCTCAGGGGCTGCCACAAAGAAGAGGGAGTCAAGCTATTTTCCAAGGTGCCTGAAGGCAGGACAAGAAGCAATGGGTGGAAACTAAGCAAGGAGAGAAGCAACCTAGAACTAAGGAGAAACTTCCTGAGAGTTAGAACAATTAACCAGTGGAACAACCTGTCTCCAGAAGCGGTGAATGCTCCAACACTGGAAGCTTTTAAGAAGAGATTGGACAGCCATTTGTCCGGAATGGTATAGGGTTTCCTGCCTGAGCAGGGGGTTGGACTAGATGACCTCCAAGGTCCCTTCCAACTTTACTATTATTATTATTTAATGGAATCTTACATGCTATGGGAATGCAGGATCTGGGTTCTGTTAACCAGTTAAGAAATTTAGGATACCATGTAAATACAGGCATCAAGTAGGATGGAATCATAATGTTCTATCAAAGAAGTCTCTCAGGCTCATACATGATTTTTAAATTTAAAAATTAAGAAACCCAAAATAGTAATTTCACAGGAAAAAATATTTTGTAAGATTTGGCTGTTCAGATCTGGGGCATTTTTATTTGGAGGTTAGTGGGTGCCATCTAGTGGCATCATGGTTCTATGTTGTCCCTCTCCCCTTCCCCTCAAGAGTACTATATACTTTTGAAGGGTAAACAATATGTACTAAATAGGACCCTGGGAAAGAAATAGAGGGGGGGGGGTTCCTTAATTAGATCAGAACAATTATGAGAAGGTTGAGATAGAGAACCTTTCAATATTGATCTAGTGGAACATTTTGTTCTGTCAGAATCTCTTTCAGCTATTTACTCATTATAATGGAAAAAATGCATAGGCATTTGAAAACATGTTTAGAGGGAAGGGATTCTTTTGATTAGAACAGTGGCCCACAGGGAAAAAATTAAGCACCCTCTTTCTCTGACACAATTGTCCCAAACAAATTCAGACTTTTAACATGGACATAATATGGTAAAAGTCAAGAATAAGAAAAACACTGGGAGATATTTCCATCATGTTGAGCTGGCCCTGAAGCTTTGTGAGTGGGCTGGAGGAAGTACTTCCTACTGAATTCTTTGTCTGAAGTCTATATTTTCACAGCAACTAACCTCTTAATTTGCCCCCAAACTATTTTCCAACTCATAGCAGAAAAAAATATTGCCTGCACATCTTTTCCACTGCAGGAAGAGAGATAGCAAATGATAAACTTTTTATTAGTACATTTATGCAACTAATTATATTTTCATGTGAATTTTTTATTTTCTAATAAAGTTTATTAATTTTCATACAATTAAAATTCTGATAGCATGTCTGATAGAATATTTTGTTTTCAATTGTTTGTTTGGGAGAGTAGCAATGAAAGTTGGATTAGACATTTTGAAAATCCAAACTTTTTTTTTAAAAAGTTTGTTTTTTTTAATTTGGCTCTAAAGCTTATTTAGCTCAATAAGGAGCCACTTGGCACAACCTAGAATAGGGCAGAATAAGGACAGAGTTTCTTTCTCTTACCATATATCATAAATTTATAGGTCTTAAATCTTTCTTCTTCTGCTTGCATGTCATTTCGAAAAACTCTGTAAGAAAGCGTGCACATATAAGATCCAGACATTTGTTCCTTAAAACCAAGCAACATCAGCTTTCCAGTTTCTGTAACGTTCGCATACTGTTTTCCTGCAACAGAAATGAGAAACCAGGTCAACATAATTCAAGTTTGGGTCCAAACTTTTGGCTTGCGTGGGCTATTTTGAGTGTGTATTGGCCTACATATAAAATATATAATAACTATTGCTAAAAATCATGTAATATTAAAAGTTTACAGTTTTGTGGGGCTGCATTACTGTCTGTCCAGGGCTGCATGCACCTGCAGGTTACAGGTTGGACACACCTGGTCTTGACTTTGATTTTTAAAACAGCAGCCCTTGGAAAGTAAAAGCTGAGTATCACATTTTTAAGAGGCATCTCATTTTTGTTTCCTGTTTAACAATGGTATTCAAGGGACTTAGTAGTTTTTTCTGATACCTGAAGGGTGTCTCTTCCAGTATATAACTATTCAGATATTATGATTTACGTGTGTGTGTGTGTGTGTGTGTGTGTGTGTGTTGGGAAGAAGTATTAGTTTCAATGTCCTGCAGTTCAGGGATGATATGGGGAAGAGTTTCAACTACTGTGGCATCCCAAATCTGGGTTGCCCTTTTCTTGGAGATGAAGCAGTACTTTTGGTTCATTTCAATTGTTTTTTGTGGATTGTTACCAGCCAAAAGAACCTCTACTTAGTGGTTGGGCTGGAAATGTTTTCAACAAATACAGGTAGTGTTCATTTAACAATGGTGATTGAGCTTGGAATTTCCATTGCTAAATGATGCAGTTATAAAGCATGGTGTCATGTGACTGCAACAGAAATTCCGGCAATTCTAGTTGCCATCATTAAGTGAATCACCATGGATCGCTTAAGTAAGAATGTCACATGCTTGCAATATACTAGCTTCCCCCATTGACTTTGATTGTTGGAAATTGGCAAGAAGTCTCACAAGTGATGATCACGTGACTGTGGGATGCTGCAACTTTGTAACTGCAAGGCAGTGCCAAGCACCTGGATTGTGAATGATGAGTGCAGGGACACTGCAACTGACATACGTTTGAGGACTAGTCATAAATATCACTGTTGTGAGTTAGAATGGCCTCTGAATGAGTTTTGTTAAGTGGGGATAATTGTTTTTCTTTCCTCTAAGACTCTTCTCCTTGATTTTTATTTTCACAGGCACATCGGAAACTGGTGGGATTCACGTCTCTGCAATTCCATCCATGGCTTGTTTTGGTTTTGGAATTGGCCAGACTGCTGGAGACTCTCCTGTCCCCACTTCCTGATTCACACCCCTACCAGCTGAATTTGAGGGGAAAAAACACAATTATTTCCCCAAAATACCATGTTTACAGCTTTTGTGCAGTGTTGTTATTATTACTGGTTTTGTTAATGTACCATACAGAGCTATAACATTTTCAGAACAAATAGAGCTTGCATTTGGATAGTGTAAATTTTTCAAAACAAATGAATATTTTGATCTCTTGATGAAAATGTAACTTACTTTTTAGGTTTTGTCCATTTGGTCCAATCCATAAATAGTTGGGGTCTATAACTTCACTTTGTGAAAGAGACAAATCCATGCAGACAAGATAGGGGCTGTTTCTGTGCACTTTGACATAAACATTGACTGCAGAAGAAGATGAAACAGGCATCTTCCACAGCTATTGTGCAAAATGACAATACAGAGAAAATTAAAGCTTCCCTTAGCTCCCCCTTGAGAACACATCCAGTGAAGTAGAACTTACACCTCTCTGAGTAAGAGCAATCCGACAATGTAATCAATTGCTCAGAGAAATGATGGCCCCTCCCTTCATTGAAAATGTTTATGAGGACTAGTCAGCCATCTGTCAGGGATGCTTTAATTTGGATTTGAACTCTGAGCTAGTGGTAGGACTCAGTGGCCTAATTCAGTGTTTATCAACTTCAGCAATTTTAAGATGACTGGTGGCTGGGGAATTTTAAGAATACATGCTGGCTGGGGAATTCTGGGAGTTGATGTCCACATATCTTCAAGTTCCTGATGCTGAGAAATATTGGCCTAAATGTCTTCAATCAGGAATAGATATTCTCAGCCTACTCACCTCCACTCCCACAATTGTTTAAAGGTATTCAAAATGTTTTCTTTACACAATGTCCTATTTTGAGTGTGAAACTGCTGGTTTGATAGTGAAATAGATTGCTTTGGGCAAGTGTTTTGAACATAGGATTGCTTCACATTCAGAATAATTGCTTTGAACACAAAATAATTCCACAATACAAAAAGCCTAGTATCAGGAAATTTCTGCTTGAAAGGATAGATCTGCATATCCACACTTATTTGCTTTATGGCTGGTGGAAAAGGCAAAATGTTTGGTTTCTTCTATAGTCTGTAGTGATATATCTCAGATACAGATTTACTATTTTAGGGAAAAATAATCTAAGAGATTATATGTTGGTATTTTGTCAGGAAGGATTTACCTATTTTTTTTTAGCTCAAATTTTTGTTGATTACAGGATCCAAATTCCTGCTTTATATTCTATATTTTGCTTTATACTCTAAAAAAACATGGAATGTTGCCAGTACACAGCATATGACTTTTCAAAATTAATCGTTTTTTTTTCAGTCTGCTATAAAAACACACTTTCTTTTTCAGCAGTAGTTTCAATGTCCTGCAGTTCAGGGGTGATATGGGGAAGAGCTTCCTCTGCTGGTGCATCCCAACTATGGGTTGCCCTTTTCCTGGAGTTGAAGCAGCACCTTGTTCATTTCAATTGGTTTTTGTGGATTTTTATAGCCAAAAGAACCTTTAGTTAGTGGTTGGGCTAGAAATATTTTCAATGATGACTGAGCCTGGAATATGAAGGATGTTTCAGATTTTTAAATAAGTGACCCTTGAGGTCTGCTCCAGATTACAGAACGTAGAGTGTCATTCTTGGTTTTAGTTGCCCCAAAGAGTTTTGCTTTTTATGTGTCAATAATTTGTGCTTATTTCCTTGGTTTTCCAAGGAATTCCTGTTTCCAGAATACATACACATTCCTTGCATCATCTTACTTTTTCATTAAAAACATAAAATGTTACCTTTATGGTTAACGTTGCCATATATAAAATTCTTTCTAATTAACTTAACAGAATACTGTGTTTCGTCCACTCCATTTCCTATTGCAGGGAAAATAAAAGTATTAAATATTTATCATTCAGATTAGACCTAGAAGATAAAGTGCAAATGATTGCTTTCAAGAACTTTGCCACTTAAAAATATATTTTAGCATGTTTTCAAACAACAAAGGTTTTAGGTAACACTTCCCCACAATGTACATAGTTAAACATTTCCCAAAGACTTTTTAATGCAAAGTGTCTTGATATTACTTTTTATAACATCAATGTCCCTGATGAATTTTTTTTCATTTTTACCACAATACATAAACTCTTTTTTGTTGGTTTTTAAAAACTAAACAATGTTTAGAACATGTTTCACAAATTAATTATTTGTGTAAGGACATTCAACCCAAGAAAAAGGACACATTAAGGATCCAATTTGTACTTCTGTATGTACTATATTGCATTTTAGCAGATTTCACAAACTCACATCCATACAAATTCATTTATTTTATAATTTGTAGCTCCTAAGATCTCAATTCGAATCCAAGGCAAACCATTCAATATCACAATAGTCCAAATCTATGCCCCAACCACTGGTGCTGAAGAGGATGAAATTGACCGGTTCTATGAAGCCCTACAGCACCTTATAGAATTAACACCAAAAAATGATGTCCATATCATCATGGGGGATTGGAATGCTAAGGTAGGAAGCCAAAAGATAACCAGAATAATAGGCAAGTTTGGCTTTGGAGTAAAAAATGAAGCAGGGCACAGGGTGATAGAATTTTGTCATTTTGTGTTTGGTCATAACAAACACTCTTTTCCAACAACCCAAGAAACGGCTCTACACATGGACATCACCAGACGGTCAACATAGAAATCAGATTGACTATGTGCTCTGCAGCCAAAGATGGAGAAGCTCTATACAATCAATAAAACCAAGACCAGGAACTGATTGTGGCTCAGATCATGAGCTTCTCGTTGCAAAATTTAGGGTTAAATTGAAAAAAGTAGAGAAAAGCACTAGGCTATTCAGGTATGAAGTAAATCATATTCCTGATGAATATATAGTAGAGGTGACAAATATATTTAAGGAATTAGATCTGATAGACAGAGTGCCTGAAGAACTATGGATGGAAGTTCACAACATTGTACAAGAGGTAGCAACTAAAACCATCCCAAAGAAAAAGAAATGCAAGAAAGCAAAATGGCTGTCTGAGGAAGCTTTGCAAATAGCTGAGGAAAGAAGGGAAGCGAAAGGCAAAAGAGAAAGAGAAAGATACACCCAGTTGAATGCAGAATTCCAGAGAATAGCTAGAAGAGATAAGAATGCCTTCTTAAATGAACAGTGCAAAGAAATAGAAGAAAACAACAGAATAGGGAGGACCAGAGATCTCTTCAAGAAAATTGGAGATATGAAGGGAACGTTTCATGCAAAGATGGGCATGATAAAGGACCAAAATGGCAGAGACCTAACAGAGGCAGAAGAGATTAAGAAGAGATGGCAAAACTACACAGAAGAACTATACAAGAATGAGCTTAACATCCCAGATAACCACAATGAGATGGTCATTGACCTCGAACCAGACATCCTAGAATGTGAAGTGACATGGGCTTTAGAAAATCTGAGCAACAACAAACCTAGTGGAGGTGACAGTATTCCAGCTGAGCTATTCAAAATCTTAAAAGACGATGCAGTAAAAGTGCTACACACAATTTGCCAGCAAATTTGAAAAACTCAACAGTGGCCACAGGGTTGGAAAAGATCAATTTACATTCCAATTCCAAAGAAAGGCAATGCCAAAGAATGTTCAAACTATCGCACCATTGCACTCATTTCACATGCTAGTAAAGTTATGCTTAAAATCCTACAATATGTGATATGTGATCGAGAACTACCAGAAGTAAAGCCAGGATTTCGAAGAGGCAGAGGAACTAGAGATCAAATTGCCAACATACGCTGGATCATGGAGAAAGCTAGGAAGATCCAGAAAAACATCTACTTCTGCTTCATTGACTACACTAAAGCCTTTGATTGTGTGGATCACAACAAATTGTGGCAAGTTCTTAAAGAGATGGGCATACCAGACCATCTTATTTGTCTCTTGAGAAACCTATATGCGGGTCAAGAAGCAACAGTGAGAACTGGACACGGAACCACTGATTGGTTCAAAATTGGAAAAGGAGTCCGGCAAGGCTGTATACTGTCGCCCTGCCTATTTAACTTATATGCAGAGCACATCATGAGAAAGGCAGGGCTAGATGAATCAAAAGTTGGAATTAAGATTGCCGGGAGAAATATCAACAACCTAAGATATGCAGATGATACCACTCTAATGGCAGAAAGTGAAGAGGAACTAAAGAGCCTCTTGATGCGGGTGAAGAAGGAGAGTGCAAAAGTTGGCTTGAAACTCAACATTAAGAAAACCAAAATCATGGCATCCGGCCCTCTCAATTCCTGGCAAATAGATGGGGAAGAAATGGAGGTAGTGACAGATTTTATTTTTCTGGGCTCAAAGATCACCTCAGATGGGGACTGCAGCCAAGAAATTAAAAGACGCTTGCTCCTGGGGAGGAAAGCTATGGCAAATCTAGACAGCATACTAAAAAGCAGAGACATCACCCTGCCAACAAAAGTGCGTATAGTCCAGGCCATGGTTTTCCCAGTTGCAATGTATGGCTGTGAAAGTTGGACCATAAGAAAGGCTGAGCGCAAAGAATTGAGGCCTTTGAACTATGGTGCTGGAGAAGACTCCTGCGAGTCCCTTGGACTGCAAGGCGTTCAAACCGGTCAGTCCTAGAAGAGATCAACCCCGACTGCTCTTTAGAAGGCCAGATCCTGAAGTTGAAACTCAAATACTTTGGCCACCTAATGAGAAGGAAGGACTCACTGGAGAAGAGCCTAATGCTGGGAAAGATTGAGGGCAATAGAAGAAGGGGACGACAGAGAATGAGATGGCTGGATGGAGTCACTGAAGCAGTAGGTGTGAACTTAAATGGACTCCAGAAGATGGTAGAGGACAGGAAGACCTGGAGGAACGTTGTCCATGGGGTCGCGATGGGTCGGACACGACTTCGCAATTAACAACATAACAACAAGATTACTAATCAAATAAAACCGTTTCTCCAAACAAAATTTCTGTGGCTGTTCCCTCGTGGGCAGTGTTAAGGTTCTCAGTGACCACAATGTCGACACAGGGTTCCGTGAATGCTTGAAAAAATGTTATGATTTAAATCCTGAACTAAGTCTTGGGGGAGGGTCTGTGGCCATGTTCCATGGCCAAAAATGGTATTTAAAGGGGGTCTGTGGTGAAGAAACCACTGGATTAAACAATCACAGACTTGATCAGAAACCTTTGAGTTCCTTGTGCTAATCTAAAGTTTGCATTCAATAAGTTTGAGAAAAGGTTTATTTAACAATTTGAATACAATACTTAGGTTTGCAGAGGCACAGCAATAAAATAGCAGGTATCAATCAGCTAGCTTAGTATTTGGATTCTGAGATCAGAATAAGCATCTGCCAGAATGTTCAGGGATGAACTAAATCATATCCCTGATGAATATACAGTAGAGGTGACAAATAGATTTAAGGAATTAGATCTGGCAGACAGAGTGCCTGAAGAACTATGGACGGAGGTTCGCAATATAGTACAAGAGGTAGCAACTAAAACCATCCCCAAAGAAAAAGAAATGCAAGAAAGCAAAATGGCTGTCTGAGGAAGCTTTGGAAATAGCTGAGGAAAGAAGGGAAGCAAAAGGCAAGAGAGAAAGAGAAAGATACACCCAACTGAATGCAGAATTCCAGAGAATAGCTAGAAGAGATAAGAATGCCCTCTTAAATGAACAGTGCAAAGAAATAGAAGAAAACAATAGAATAGGGCAGTGGTGGTGAACCTATGGCATGCGTGCCAGAGGCAGCACTCAGAGCCCTCTCAGTGGGCACATGTGCTGTCGCCCAGCCCCGCCTCTCCCTGAAGCCCCCTCACCAGCAGCGCCCCTGAAGGAGAGTTGCTCCCAGGCACAGCCCACACAGAGCAGCGCAGCCAAGGACATAGCTGGGCAGCAGGGACAAGACTCTACCCTCATGCCCCATAGTGTGCAGATGTTGCTGCAGGGTGTGGGTGGAGGGCATGGCTGCCATGGCGCTGCAGGGCTGCCTGGGCGATCTGCTGCGACAAGCCATGGAGGCGGTCCATGGCCCTGCGAGTGGGCAGGGCAGGGGCAGGTGGGGGCAGAGCAGGAAGGGTGGGAGGCAGAGTGGGGGCAGGGGGCGGTTTTTGGGTACTCAGTCTCTAAAAGGTTCACCATCACTGGAATAGGGAGAACCAGAAATCTGGTAGAAGGGAATTAGACACCCCCAAAGTATGTAACGGAAAGGAGAATGGGAGGGGAACTAATGGCATTGAAAGAAAGGAGGAAGAAAGGGTTAATAATAAAACAAAAAAAGGAGTGATTTGGGGGAGTGATGCAAGTGAATGCATGGAGAGTAACAAGGAAACATCTAGAATACAGATTGACCGGCCAGGACCAGTGACGCGGTCCCAGAGCCGAGTGCAAATGTCAGCCAAACCCATTTAAGTCATCACTGTTTACTGGCTTCTCAGCTCTGATGATGTTGGGAGCCTCCCCAACGAAAGCTTGGCATTTTTAGTAAAGTATATTTTTATACCTATATTCTCCTGGTGATCATGTTTTTTATCTGTTTTATATGTGTGTGTGTGTGTGTGTGTGTGTGTGTGTAGGTCTTTGGTTATTCGGGTTTTCTCCCGCGTCAAATTGGAAGTGTCTTGGCGATGTTTTGACAAAGTCCCATTTGTCATCTTCAGGATGGTGTTTTCAGCTTTGTGCTTCTAGGAAGCACGATCACACATTGTTCCTAGAAGCACGAAGCCGAAAACACCAGCCTGAAGATGACGAATGGGACTTCATTGAAACGTCGCCAAGACACCCCCAACTCGACACTGAACAACCAAAGACCTACATACAAACACCTGCAGGGCCATCTACTGCGGCAGATTGCCTAGGCAACCCTGCAGCATCATGGCGACCACGCAGCAGATGATGCTGTGTGGTGCGGGGGTGGAGTCTTGTACCGGCTGCCATGTCCTTGGCTGCGCTGCTCTGCACAGGCCATAACCAAAAGCGACTCTCTTCTGGGGGGGCTGCTGGTGAGAGGGTCCATGGGGGAAGGCGGGGCTGGGGCGATGGCGCGCGTGCCAACAGAGAGAGCTCTGAATGCCGCTTCTGGCATGCATGCCATAGGTTCACCACCATTGCACTATACCATGGCTTAATCCAGTTTAAGCAAAAGACATGCTTCCAGGCTTTTCATATATTATCTGCCAGCCATTGCCCTGAGGTTATCAGGAAAGATTTTGCTTACTTCTATTTTTTAAAAAAAATTAATTATTAAATTATTAAATAATTTGTATTATTATTTGGAATCTTTTATTGCTTCATATTAATATTTTACTAACAAGGTTTTTGGATAATAAATATAATTTTCTTCAGAGGCAGCAGCTGACTATGTAATCACACAGAGCCAAAAAATACACCTGTCTGCACTTTTAATAGTTACTTCTGCTGGGTCATATAATCATATACTTTTACAAACCTGGAATTTTTCATACGCACTTGATTACTGCCGTTTGATTACTAATCCATGGTCAGTATGGATAAATCTTCAGGGTTTTTTCCCCCTTAGTGGACAAATTATTTTTTCTAAAGTATTAAACTTTAAATCTAGCTCTTAGATTAATCAGTTGTTAAAAAAAACTCCTTTGATGCTTTTGATTGTAAGTAACTTATTTTGGGAATGAGGTCTAGCATTTATGGACTTACTCTGGGGAGTTAATGTGATGACCTGTAGTATAGAAGCTTCAAAACTTTCCATTGTTAATAAATACTTGAACTAGTTTGGTGTAGTGGTTAAGATGCTGACCCAGAAACCAGGAGATTCTGAGTTCTAGTCCCACTTTAAGCATGAAAGCCTGCTGGGTGATTTTAGTCTAATCACTGTCTCTCAACCCAACCTAACCCAAGGCAAAAGATTGTTGTTGTGGAGAAAACAGGAACCACATGACATATATTGGCTGACTTCAGTAGTGGGATTCAAATATGTGAACAGCCAGTTCTCTGTGTGGATGCTGCTTCCAAAAGTCCATTCTGGGCCTGGGCAACAAAAAAATTAACTACCGGTTCTGCTGAAGTGGTGTGAACTGGCTGAATCCCACCATGGGTTGACTTGAGTTATAAAACAACAACAACAACAACAACAACATCAACAACAATAATAATAGGATAAAAAAACTAAAAACTAAATAAATGAATAAAAGGGTTGAATTTATTAAGAATTACTTTCCCATAAAATTGCTGGATGATTCTAGGATTCTAAAACATTTATCAGGGACCTTGTACAGATAATTTCTGCCTCACCCTTGCTTTATTCAAGTTGAGGAAGCAAATAACTACATCAAGCAATTGCAAACTGGAACAAAGATTTCACAGATTAACAAATTCTATGGAAAAGAACTATTTAGGAATCTTTTAACTGAGAAACTACTGATGAACCTCAAAGGACAATAACATTTCTTAAAAAAAAAAAAGTTACCCATACCTTAAAATTACCCCAAGGGTAAAAGAGAACTGAATGTACTTCAGGGAAATAAAATCTAGTTTTTAATCTTTTGCATTGTTTTCTCAGATTTCTCTTTTTTTTCCATATGTTGACTTTTTATTAAGAAAAACTTAATCAGGATAAATTATTAGAAAATAATTAAACAAATAGAGGAACCATGAAGAATTCCTGTCATATGCAATGTATCCTGGAAATCTACAATAATAAATAATAATCCCCCCCAAATTAAGATAAAACAAATTGTTATTTCAAAAAAGTGGAATCCTAATCATGGACTGTAAATTTATAAAAAACGTATTTGTAAATACAAAAATGGTGATACAAATAAAATTGTAAAACAGATGGTTCAAAATTTATTTCCGAGGGATAGTCCAGGGAATGGGCACAAAAATAAAACCAGTATATTGAAAATCAAGGATTCTGCTCTAAAAAACTTTTAGGACATGCTTTCTCTTAACTTGAAATTGACCAGATTGGAAACAAGTTATTTTGATTCAATCACAAGAATATAGAAAGGAATAATAAAAGATAAAGGAGAGAGGAAGGGAAGGAGCAATAAACAAGTAAGTCAGTCTTCTGAGCAAAAATATGGGATAAATAACAGTGCAATGTGGAAGGTATACATTTGCATTATTTTTCATTATGCAAATTGATCTGTTACTTTTGGGGAGTGTTTAAAGTGGGAATTGTAGTGATTTGCCCTCTTTTGTTGAGGAAGAATAGACCTTTCACCCCCACTCCAAATCAGCCATGCTCCTTCTGATGCCCTCAGCATTTTTAGAGAAATATGAAGGTCTTCAGCAGATTATTGAGAGATAGAGTGTTACTCAACTTCTTAGAAGTTCTCCACCTTTGTCCTATACCCACAGTTTATAAGATGCCATATACCTTGCTCTGGGGCCATGACACCATTCAGCACAAACCTTGCAGGGAAGATTAGGTGCAGGACAATGCAGAGAGAAAGAGTTAACCAAGTGTTGCCACTTTGCATAGTGCAAGAGAGAGTCCATCCTTCCTCCTACTCAGGCCTAGGCAGCCTTCTGTCCATACAGAAGAAAAAAGAGCAAGAAGTTCCCTTCCTCACCCACATGGCATTCCAACTGCCAACCAACTGTAACCATGACTACCTTTCTCCTTTACTGGTTTTCAATTAGATTCCAGAGAACGTTGGGATTCTTTGTGGACATATTCACTTCAGCTCTGGTGGGCTAATGCCTGGCTGTCTACTGCCAAATGTCCCATATAATGCTCAGTGTTCAGGAGAAGAACAGATAGCTTCTAAATTCCTCAGTTGACTGCTGGACTCAGTAGGTTCAACTAAGGCTTTATGGAAATGGTGCATTCCCCCCCCCTTAGGGCTGGTTCTCCCTTTTGCAAGAGGGGGCTGTTGCCACCACCAGAAATTGTTGGGGGCAGAGAGTGGTGATGAATATTGTATGGCAGAACTCTATGCAATGTAACTATAAATGGAATTTACTTCTGAGAAAATAGGCCACGTTTTCCAATGTTTAGATTTAAAATAATAAACATTTGTGGCAAATCTAAGATGAATAACAATCTGAGGAACTTTGCTCTTTTTGTTACCAAATTCTAAGACAGAGAAGGAAGAAAGGAAGGAAGGAAGGAAGGAAGGAAGGAAGGAAGGAAGGAAGGAGAAAAAGAAAGAAAAAAGAAAAAAGAAAGAAGAAAGAAAAGAAAGAAAGAAGAAAAAAGAAAGGAAGGAAGGAAGAAAGAAAGATAGAAGAAAGAAAGAAAGAAAGAAAGAAAGAAAGAAAGAAAGAAAGAAAGAAAGAAACTTATTCTGTCTGACAAAATAAAGGACTTTCTGATTAGGAGGTATTGTTTTCTGACTGAATTAAGCCCTATCAAATTCAACGTTCTTTTTTTAGGCATCATGAAAAAGTGCTTTTGTTTCCTTTAGCAGTAATTTGGAAAACAGTTGTAGGTTCTCAGCCTGGAATGAATAATATCAACAACTCTACAATTTCTATGGTTTGGGAATATGATTTACACCCACTGGACCACCTTCCTCACAGCTTGAGGGCGCCCTGTTTCTTCACAACTTCTAACCATTTCCTGTCCTTGTCATCTCATTATTGCAATGCAACCCAGCTCTTTTTTTGAATCTGAAACCTGCCTATTTGGGAATCTTGCTTCCTTTCTGAAGTTCAGTGGAATCCCTGAACCCTGGAGAGAAGCTTTCTGACTAGTTGCTGCTACCAAACAAAATGGAAGGTGAGAGATTTATTAGAATTCTGTTGATTTTATTTTAGTAAAACTCAAGTTTCTTTCATTTTTCAACACACTTAGAAATCTGAATTACCCATTTCTAAAAAGTATTTTTGCTTTAAAATTTATTTCCTTTTCATCACCTACTTAAGCATCCTCCCCCCGATCCAAGATTTTAACTTTAACATCTTGGAGAAATAATAGTGCCAACACTTTGTCAGAATAAGAAATTCTTCTCCAATTTCTTACTTATTTTTCTCAATTTGCAGAGTTTTCCTTTCCTTTCCTTTCCTTTCCTTTCTTTTCCTTTCCTTTCCTTTCCTTTCCTTTCCTTTCCTTTCCTTTCCTATGCCTCCATTATTAGGATTTTCCAACAGTTTTATTTTTCTTAAATAATATTGAACAAACCAATATATTTCTAACAGAATGATAAGATTTACAAAGATATTACCAAGAACCTCCCTCCCCCCCAAAACCGGCTGTATTTCTAAACCTGCAAAGAACATCCTAAAATGTCCCTTTAAAAACTACAAGAGAAAGTTTACCTTTTTTTCTGGTTTTCATAGCTACTCAAAACATTATATATATATATATATATATATATATATATATATATATATATATATATATATATATATATATATATATATATATACAGTACATATTTTTGTTGACTATATATTTGGAATTATTTTAATAGAAAATATTTGTCATAGGTTAGAACCTTTAGAAGCAATTTAGAAGGAATTCCTAAAAATGTTCTATAAGTTAAACTCTATCAAAATCAGTAAAATCTCCTCCCATAAGTAAGTATATATTGAATAGGATCTGGTTATTATGATACAATCCCCATTTTCCTCTTTATTTGTTATATCAGGGTATAATTTCTGATGCAAAATTGTACAAATATTGCATATTTCAAACATTTTAATCTGGAAGTTTAAAATTTCGCTGCAACCAAGATAATCAGAATCAGTTACCTGTCATAAATGTTATCTGCCACTGTTAAGAGTATTTTGAATTTCTAAAGTTCTTTATTCAGCATAAGAAGTTGAACTCTTTACTATAATTTCATAAGTGATATTAAGAAATCCCACCTGTCAAGTGAATTTGTGCTCTAAAAATTTATCTGTCACACAAGTGAAATTTCATGTGCTTATTTAAAAGAAAGCTTTTTTTCAAATCAGCGGGGAATTCCTCTCAGTCAACATGATTTGCTTCTAGCAACAATGTTTGCATGGTGCCAAAACCATTTTTAAAGTGTGCTACACCTTTAAAAAGTCTCTGCATCTAGTGAATTGGCACTAACACATCAAAACAAATATACTTTTTATGTCTATGTGTTCCGTTTGAGAGAGGAATATACAAACTTGTGAACAGTAGGATTTAATATGTTTGCTATTTATATGCTTGTGTATAAATGTAAAACATCACTACACTGCTTTTTTCAGATTGCATTCAATTTAAAATATACTTTTAGGATCAACATAGTAAAAACAAGGCAGGTGTCTTTGATTTTCTTCCTAATGTCAGAAACAAAATTTATTTTCAAGTTGCATTCTTTCAATTTTATTTAGTCCAGCATGGATTATACTTCTTTTTTGAAATTGAAGATTTAGATTTTCTCAATATTTTAATGTTGCTTCATTGACCTATCCCAACCCATGTTATTTTAGATTTGAAAAAATTCAGATGATCATTGCAGAGCAAGAAAATAGGCAAATATAATGCAAAATATTAATGCAAAGACTAAGATTTCTTTGCTTTAAAAAAAGGAAGAGAAAAAAAAGAGAATTTTTTTTGAAAAAAAAAAGATTTCTGAGCCCATCTTGCAATCTTTTGACCTGTTGTTAGGTAGTGATCATATATATATTAAAATATAACGCTTTAGAGAAAGGGAGGGAGCTCAAAAATTTTTTTATAAGCTTTTAAACTTTTTTATCAAACTCTTCCCTATTTTCTTTTTGCAGGCAAAGGTATACAAATATATATTATGTCCTAAGATTAGAGCCATTTTAATTATCCTGAGAAAACAGAAATTAAAATTCTGGGGTAATGAGAAGTTGAAATATTCTACTATACAAATGTGAATAACAAAACATCCCCTGGGACTCCATTTTAAATAGAAAAGGAAGTTACTTTTTTTTAATAGAAAAAGTTGGGAATGGTAGCATGAAGAAGAAGGGGTACTTAATGATATCCTTAGTGGTGGTTGTCCAGATTCTAGATCTGATTTCTTTTCTTTCTCCAACCCCAGTTGTTTCTTCTCCCTGTGAATGAAGAATTAGCATCCATAGCTCTGTTCTGTGCAATTGTTAGAATGGTTTTCTTGGCCTTTGCAGACCAGAGGAGTTTAGGTGTATAATTTGCCCCTTATTCATTTTAAATACTGTATTGGTCTTTTAGTTATTCTTCAGAGATTGCATTTCCTAAACAACCAATGTGCTTGATGGGCCACCGTACAATTTCTCCCTAAACAAAGATGAAATATTTGATCAGCCTTTTTCTGTTTGGGTTCCTGGCATTAACAGCCCAAGGATATCCAGATATTTATGATTGGAAGATTTGACTATTTCATACTTAAAACTAATTTATAGTTTTTGAAGGTCTGTCCCAGGTCTTAAAGGTAAAAAAAAAAAAAGATTTACAGTAGTTGACATTGGTAATTTGTAATGGGAAGGTTCATATTATTGATGTCCTTCTATGGACATCTAGGCATGAACTATGGATCATTAAACTGTTATCTTGGACAACCCACAAATGTGAGGCCTTAGGACTAAATGATTTTTCTTTATATCAAATGAATTAGCAGACATTAGTAAAAATCCTAGATGTTGTCCTTTAGTTTGTTTATTTCTTGGGCAAGCTTTTCCAATTATTTTTTTCTTATTGGGAATAAATCTTATTATGATCTCTCCCTGAAGTTTATGTCTCTTTATCTCCCCCCTCCCTCCTTTTGTTTTTGTCCCTGAGAAAGTTTGAGGTCACCAGTCCCTATTTGAAAACTCTGTGAGTGAAAGTTGCTAATGCTGACAGTTTTCAGCCTTCATTTTAGCCTCTCTCTCCAACTCTCTATAATTTAAACCTCAGAAGTGAGTGGATGGAGCAGAAATGCATTGGGTACACACACCCCAAAAGTATTGACCTAAAATTCAGGGCAGTTTTTCCTTTCCCTTTTATTACAACCTATCTCCCAATACATTCTCTCTTAATACAATCTCAGTTCTCAAATAACTGAGTTTGTTACATGTGCTTAAGCTGCAGCTGTTCTATAATAAGTACAATCACTTTCATTTTTGATATCAAACATTGTTAGCTTTTTTCCCCTTTACTTGTAAAAAAAAAAAAGAAAGCTGTTGTGGTCAATTCACAAGCACTCCTTGCTTCAGAAGTCCTTGCAGGGCAGATTGTTAAAGTAGACTCTGCACCTGCTATTGTTTATTTATTCTGCAGGAATGTACAATTTAGGGAGGCAAATCTCTCAAACATCAAACCCGTGAGAAAGTATATAAATGTTTTTTAATATGAAAAAATGAAAGGTATGTAATGTTTTGGCGACAATGGATCACCACACTCCTAAACTTGATGATTATTAGCTTAATTCTGCCAATATCAAAGAAAAGGAGAAAAATAAATAAGAAGTTGCTTTGCTTAACTTCAAAAAGATTCAAGCTCTCCTTGAAAGTGTCATTTTGAAACCCGTTATTTTCTCACATGGGATGAGAGAGCTCAATGCAGTCCCATAATTGTAAGAAAAAGGAAACCACTACATGTTTAGAGATATTCCCCTTCTTTTTTGTTATGCTGCTGATATGCACATTGCTTTCAATAATATTTCATCAAAGAAGTTCTCTGGGTTTCTCATTCAAATAAGACTCCATATGATAGCATCTATCCATAGTTTACATGTGAGAAACAACTGTTGATGAAGGTAGGGATGAGTGGCTATCAAGCTCTGGCTTATAGCTCAGGACCTGGTTGGCTTTACTTGACTTTGCAGTCTCAAACATTATGTAAGAAGAATTTTTCTAATTCATTTCCATTATTTGGCAAATATTATGTGTCCTGGTATACATATCCTATTTGAAGTGATGTGGAGAGGGAAAAAAGTACTATCATAGTAATATTTTCTCAAATTCCACAGTATTAGGTACCTATTTTTTAAGTGATATACGATGAATACAGATTTTAAAAATAATCTGGAGATAGGAACAATTAAAATGTTATAGTTTAAGCTACAGCCCATTTTTCTTGCAAGTGGTGAAAAAGCATGAGGGAAGAAACTGGATTAAATTCCCTTTATTCACTCCAGTCCATGTTAATAATGTGTTCCTAATTCTGAAACTCCCTCCACCCAAAAGTACTTAGTATTCAGGGAAATAAAAGTAGTATTTTGATAAAGGTTTGGAAAGATCTTCAGCTATCAAAGTTTATATACTCAGAGGTTGCAGAGGCCCCATGTATGTTCCATAAACCTTAGTGGTAAAGCGAGGGAAGCGGTTAACACTTTCCTGCTGCTTCAACTGAGCTAAATTTTGCAGTTATGTAACAGCCAGGACTAAGATTTTAAGATTTCAGATTCTTTGATAAGGAGATTAAAAGTGGAGAGAAAGGAAGAAATTAACTTTAAAAGGGAGACTGTAGCATCACCTTTAAGAGAGGAAAAATTGATTAATCTTCATCAAAGGCAGTTGCAGATCATTTTGCAGTTGATCAGTTTTGCAATAATCAGACCAACCATGCAAGGAAAAGAGCCTATGAAAAACACCAGGCCATGTTATTGGCCTATATGTCATGGGTGGGAAATGTCTGGGCAGTTGAGCAGACTGGATGGGCTAAAAGTCTTTTTTTTTCACACCTGGATTGGATTCAGGGTTAGGATGGAAATGGTGCACCTCTCAGATGCCTTTCATTTCCATTCCTATCTTCTTCTTCTTTTCTCAAAAAGAAGAAAGAAAAAGTGGCAATTGAGCAATTTGCCACAAAACTTCAATATGATCCTATATTGAGGTTCATACATGAGGGTACAGGTTGTCCAACCCTATCCTAAGTAAATTTCAGAGGAGGTCAAGGAAGTCACAATGTAGCAAGGACCATGCAATAACAATGCAAATCTGCACTAGGCTCAGTTTGCAGATACATTCATTAAATTTTGCATCAGAATCTACCCAGAAATTATATGCATTACTTTAAGAATGAATTTTCCATGTTCTCTTCTGATAATTTATTTGCACCTGGAAGTCTGGGAATATAGTTATTACATGAATTCCACTGCAAGTATTACAAGACTTGCTGTATAGATTTCCTTCAGAGCTGTTATTTTGGAAAAAGGCTCTAACTCGAAAGGTCATTTTACAAAATAGTAATACTGTACAGTTCTGAGCCCATGGAATCCCTGGACCTGCTTGAGCTACTGAAGTGATACAGTACAGAGTTTACAAAGACTGAATTCTTTCTTTGGGTTTTCCTGTTCTAGATTCCCCAGCTGGCCTGGACCTCAGCCTTTGTCAAGAACAGACAGAACATGCAGGTTTGGGCCATTGAACTTTTCTCATTTCCTTCCTTCAATCAGCCATAAGGCCAGACATAATCAAAATATAACAGCAGTGACAATTTTACTTCCATATTTACAGAATATAAAACCATCAAACAATCAATATAATATATTCCGAAATTCTCAAAATAAAACATCATATTAAAATTTTTCAGACCTTGATAATGGTGCAACGTATTGTGCAAATGGTGGCACAAAATTGGGCAACCTGAATTGATATTTTTGGATCCTTATCTGAAAGTAGCAACTTTAGATAAAATTCATATCCCCTACCTGGAAACTTCTTCAATATCGGCTATATAAGAATCAGTCTAGAGTCTTTATATAAAGAACAATGAAGCAGCATATGGCTTAGGGTTTCTATAGAGCCATCACCACATGGATACAACCGAAGGTGCATAGGAATGCCCTTAAACTGTCCAAAAAGGACTGCCGAGGGCAATGCATCCAGCCTGGCTAAGGTGAAAGCTTTACGAAATTTCAAAATTGTAATGGAAAATAGATAAGAAGCTGGGAAGAATCCTTCTGGAAGCAAGTGACAAATATTGGAATGTGCCACCTTACTTAAGTTTTGTTTGCCTTAAAAAAGCTTCTTACCTACTTACAGCATTTTGGAAAATGATGCAAACCAACAACAATCTTCCCTATGAGAAGCTTTATTATATAAAACTTAATAAACTTATTTATCTTCCTACCTGAGCGCTTATTACTAAGCCTTTGCTATATTATCCAATATTCAAAGCATCCAGTACCTAAAGAATGACCTAAATGTTTCAAACCTCATTAAAATTCATGCTACAGTGATTCATCATCTTCCTCATCATTTGTCTTTGTCTTCTTTTCATTAAAACTGTACCAGGTTTACGGGATATTTTGAATGATGGCAGTCGTAACACATACCGTGAAACAGAAAACATGCAGAGTAGTGAAGATGTGAAAGAATATAATTTGACTAATGGAAGAGAGAGAGAAGGTAAAGTATAAATTGTAAAACTAAAATTCATATATATATATATATATATATATAAATAAATAAACTACCACAAATCTATTGTTTGTACAGGTAGTCCTAGACTTATGGCCACAACTGAGTCCAAAATTTATGTTGGTAAGTGAGATATTTGTTAAGTGAATTTTGCTTCATTTTACAACCTTTCTCACCACAGTTGTTAAGTGAATCATCGCAGTTGATAAGTTAATAACATGGTTGTTAAGTGAATCTGGCTTCCCCATTGATTTTGCTGGTCAAAAGATTGCAAAAGGTGATCACATCACTTTGGGACATAAGCAACTGTGATGAGTCAGTTGCCAAGCATCTTAATTTTGATCACATGATCATGCAGATGCTACAAAGGTGATAAGTGTGAAAAATGCTCATAGGTCAATTTTCAGTGCCGTTGTAACTTTGTACGGTCACTAAATGAACAGTTGGAAGTTGAAGAGTACCTGCAATAGCATCATTGTGAAGATGTCAATACGGCAATGTCTTCCATAATCTGAATGGGTCTGCTGGGCTTTTAGACATAGAGGACAACATTTGTGGGGAATTGGGGATGGGAGTGAGGAATGAGTAGATATTGTGGAACAGACACAGGACAAAGATTTGTTGATGGGAAGCAGGAAGTATATGGATAGCAAAAACAGAAGAGGGTCAAATCTTGACTCCTGGGTTATAATCTGACTTGTTCTTGCAAAATTGCCACTAACTGCAGCTTTAGATTGAAATGGGTAGTAATAGCAAAACTGTATGACTGAATCCTAACAGAGAAAAAGCCCTCTCCAGATTGAAAAGCTACAAGTTTGGAAGAATTCAGAGAGCAAATCGACTCATTTTTTTTTCACCAACAGACTTTAGCTCGAAATGTTGACTTTATCTCTTATAGAGTTAGCAGAACAGTAACTGTCTATGCATCAAAAAAAGTGATAAGCAACAGGGGAGATAAAAAGGAAAAGGTCATGAACTTCCTCTTTATGTCCCTGCACTGCAGAGACTTCAAAGTTTAAGCCCAAAAAAGGGGGAGAGGAGGGAGGGAGGGAGGAGGGAGAAGGACCAATTTTATATGTTTAATATATTCTATTATATTAACAATGAACAAAAGTAGCCTATTCAGACAAACAAACAAACAAAAAGAAGGCAGCCAGGTCTGAACTTACCATGTTTCTGGCACAGCTACTGCTTTTTATGCTTCTTTTCCAGAGAAGACAAATTCCTGGTTGCTACTACTGGAAATTTCTCCCTACCTCATTATACCCACTTAAAGGTATTTAAACACCACTTAAAGGTGTTTAAGTCACTCCAACATTCCTCTGTTCCACACTACTATTGCGTGTTTATATAACATATGAAACATATCATGTCTTCAAGTATGTCTTGATTATATAACATTAAATGGGAACACCTGGGTTCTTACAAGATGTCAAAGCACAAGCTAATGAAGCTCCTTTTTGTTTTGCTTAGTGTGTTGTATAAACTAAGGGTGATCATTTTCAAATATGTTTTTTTTTTTCATTTGCCACTACACTGGTCTCTCCCCCATTACAACCATATTTATTTTATTTATTTTTCAAGACTTAATAGCCATTTAATCAAAACTGATTCTGGAAGTTCCAAAATCCAACTTCCGTTCCTCTCTAGTCCATCGCGCCCTGGCCAACCAAACTTCAAGAATCTAGGAAGAATAGCAAAAATATATATCACCTTTGCAAAGATGATATAGTTTTGCTACTTTTCCTAGATTCTTGAAGTCTAGGTTTTCAAATCAGTCTTAAGTTTTCCATACCACTATTGTTCATAGCTATTCCTGTAAGCAACCAGCAGGCTTAAGCTTAATTTTGTATTGCTAATTCAAAATTAAGAATTTTGGCCAGAGTTTTCTGAAACCCCCTTAGCAGGGCATATGGTGAAGAATGAAAAATAAAAACAGAAAAGGGATTGGTCATCACTATTGTTGGCATTGTTCAATATAAGTTTTTAACAGATCATTTCTAGTATGCTGCCCGTTCAATACTATACCTCCGAAAAAATGCTATTCTTAGAAAGTGCTGTCCATCCATCATGGAGTAAGAGATTGTGTTTTGTCTTCCTCAAGCAAAAAAACTTCCTACGTGCACAATCCTTTTTCTGTTTTCAGTATGATCATACTACATTCAAAATAACAGAATAACAGAGTTGGAAGGATCCTTGGACATCTTCTATTCCAACCCTCTGCTCAAGCAGGAAACTCTGCACCATTTCAGACAAATGGTTGTCCAATCTCTTCTTAAAAGTCCTAATCCTTTGCACAGAAGTTGCAGCTGAGACTCGTATGCAAATCCTCCTCATATTAACACTTGTTTGTATAAATAGACCATGTTTCTGCTCTGCTGACAGATGAGTAGCATCTTGTAGCATCTGCCAGTCAGAGAAGTAAGGACAGCTCCATGTTTTTGTGAACATTCATGGGAATATGTTGCCTGGGCATAGAAATACATTTCTTAAACCACTTGCTCTCTCTAGCAATAAGTGACATTGAAGTTTGTGTCAATGAGTATTGCAAGCATCATTTGATATTGCATAGGACTTCCATAGACCTTTGAAGGAACACAGTGATAAGACTGAAAAAGCCTGGGCATCTGCAATAGCTTTTTTAAAAGAAAAAAAACAAAAACAAAAAAGGATAACAAAACTATGGGGAAGAGATAAACAGCAATAGGTATAGAAGTCACCTTTTCTCATAAAAAAATTAAGACAGTTTTTGTGTCTTCATTCAAAAGGGTCAAAATACTTCTGTTGAAGTTTCAAACAACTTCTTAAAAGACATGTCTTTTCTACACGGGAATTTGAAATCATAGATTTGGTGCAGGCGAAACAGGAAAAAATAAGTGCAGCATAAGTGGTCCTACTTCAGGCTCTTGAATTAACTGGTGTAGTGATGGTGGTGTTTAACAGGCAGGAAAGAGGAACAAAGAAAGTGGGAAAATCAGCCAAAAGTACATTCAGACTTGTAGCTGAGGTTCTAGCCACCCTTAGAAGACATGTGGTTGTGCTAGGAAAGGAAATGCTATGTTTTTCTAGTCAGAAAATTAGATCTTGTGTACTGTCCTGCTGAGTTAGAAAGTGGGGTGCAGCTGAAAAAATTAATAAAGCTATTTTTAAAAAATAAAATAAAATAAAAGCAAGGTGCAGGTGTGGGTGATGTAGCAAACCCAGCTGATATTTTTCATCAGTGGTTAACTCATCAAGCAATTATACAAAACAGCAAAAAGTTCTTGGAACCTGGCTCACTACAGTGGCACGGCACTTCTTTGATCGTGGCCATGGTTTGAAACTCAGTCAGGTTTTATTGTTTCTTTTTCTCTTATTTTAATAAAACATAATTCTGTATCTAAGAAATCAAGGGATGTGAAGTACTCCTGTATTTCCCTTCTTTTTTTCAGTATATATACTACTTAACACAAGTCTCAGTGCACCTTCAAGGCAAGTCTTCTTTTCTAAAGATATTTAATTGTTAAGCATATGTTTAGCCATATATGCCAGAGATATATAGACACAGAGCCAGGGATAACATACAAAGAGACCAGCACATATATGTATATACATATACATAAACAAACATGGTGCAAAAATCATATATATGAGCGCATAACTATATGATTTTGTACAGCTGTCCTTGTATATGTAAACTACAGGTAGTCTTCATTTAACAACCATAATAGAATCTGGAATTTTGATTGGAAATCATTGCAGTCTCTGCGTGACCTGACTCAATTTTATGATCGTTGTTATGACAGTTGTAAGGTGAGTCACCATGATCGTTAAAGCAAATCACATGGTCAGTAAGTGAATCACATGATCATTAACTGAATCCATTCTCCTGAATGGAATTTTTTGACACAGACAAGCAAAAGTGTCATAAACCATGGCCAGATAATTGTGCAATGCTACAAGTGATTGTGGGCTGGTTGCCAAATGCCTGAACATGATAAAGGAGAGGGGATGTGTGGGTTATAGCGGTCATAATTTTGAGGATGAGTCATAAGTAACCTTTTGGGGGAAGTCTGTCATAACTTTGAATGGTTGTTCAATGACTAGTCATTAAGCAAGGACTATCTGTATTTAGACTCAAAGAATATGAAGCATGTCAACTTATCTCTTCATGTTGATCCCTCAAGCCTATAATTGCTTTGCTAGTGACAGTAGATCTTCAGTCTCTGAGGCAGAAGATTTTTCTGTCCTGTATCTTTAAAAATGGAAATGCTGGAGATTAAAACTGAAACCTTATTCAATAAAGATATGCTCTGTAAGTAAGCTGTGCCCCTCTTGCCTCCCCCATCTAGAGTATTCTTTATTATAGATTTGCATGCCTTCATTTGCATGCAGTTATGATTTACTTATGCTTAATCAGTGATTGCTCAATGGCAAATCCAGTATGGTGTGTGTGTGTGTGTGTGTGTGTGTGTGTGTGTGTGTGTGTGTGTATACATAATACAGTTTGTTCTTCAACATTACTCTTCATTTATAAAGTGGCTATATTGAGTTCATTTTGACTTCTCACATCACATAAATGAGTTCCATAAATATATAAATTAAGTATGTGACCTGGAACTCTACAATCCCAAAATCCCTTTCACTATTCAGGAATTTGTTATGAAGCTAGTTTATTTGGAATGTGCTTTTTGATATAGGAAAATAACAATAACCATCAATGTAATATTTAGTTATACTTTCTGAGATAAAGTTGCTTCAAATACCTGGATGCTTCTATATTGGAAGCATAAGTTACAGTGTTTAAAAATCTTAATAGTTTTCCATGTCATTCCATAAGAATGGCCCTTCCCTTCCCTTCCCTTCTTAGAGGTAAACCAATTTGTACTCTACATTCATGCTTCGTAGGGAATTCAGAAAGTTTTGTTGCTATTTTTAACTTGTGAAATTTCCACCAGGTGTTTACTGTCTGTTTGAGTTCATTGAGGCATCACTCCAAAACTGAATTATTTAAATGAAAAACAAGACAATTCAAAACTAATCCCTTCCTACCCCAGTGTTTCAGTGGACTGAAAAAAGGAGCCACCCCTCCAAAAAAAAACCCAAACTCAGATCCACAAGGCACTTCCTTTTTATGAAAACTA